ACAGCTACTGAGCTGCTGCACTTGTGCTGCAGATGGGCTTTGTCTGTGCATGCTTTGGCAGACAAACCTGTCTCTCATTTGGATCTCATATAGAGGAAAAGTGGGTTTGATGGTCGGTTTTGTTAGGCTTGTTTTGTAGTCTACCTTGCTGGCTTGCATTTATAGATGTCTAATTATTTTTTGTACATTCATATCTGTATTTTATATTTGCACTTTTGCTATGGCACACATTTCTCAAAGCCAGGGTGATCAAAAAAGAAACACCAGGCAGGAACAATAAGGAGAGGGATCTAACAAAGACCCTTTGTGCGATTAAAAACACTGTACCATGGCCTTTGCTAACTCAGATCTTCAGAACACAGCACAGGTTCTTCTGAGTTCAAGTTATGATTTAGGCTGAAGAAGTCTGGTATTAAAAAAAATGTTCTCTCCTTCCCCAATAGGAAATTGGTTTTTTATTAAAGACACTTCTTGAGTGTATTATTGTTGCCTTCTACCAGCACCAACTTGAAAGAACAGTGCTGATCTATTTAAACCTGTATAAAATCTTAAACATCTCTTTTCCCCCCTAAATTGCAGCTGATCTGACATTTGCAGGTCAGAAAGAGTGTTTTGGAGAGGAGGGATTTGACCTGCCTGACCACCTGTGGAGTTGCTGCATTTCCAGTGGCATGACCTCAGGCCTCAGCTGAGCTCTAGAAACTGTCCATGTGTGCTCTCCTAGCCCCAGTGAATGGGAGATAAAGTTCCTCTTCTTGAACTGCCTCTGTCTGGGAGGAGTCAGCCTGGAGAGACATTGCCTGTCAGCATTTTAGGGATAAAGTAAGGGCAATATTTTATCCTAAGAACTCACTTTCAGGCTCAGCATAGAGATTTCTGTGTCTACTTTGTCCTAGGGGGCAAATATTTCTTAGAGCAGACTCTTCACTTTATACTTTTGACATCTTTAGCAAGAGCTTCCTTAACATATTATGTTTAGTCTGAAACCAGTATAAAACTTGTCTTTCTCTTCTTCCCTTTTCATTTCCCCTTGGTGCTCCCTTTTTTCAGTCACTGAACGATCATCAAGTATCTTTTTCAGCATGGATCACGGCAGAGTTTTAGAGCTGCCTCTCCAAAACCTCAATAAATGCACCAAGCTGCTGTTGTTATAACCCAACTCACTGCCATGTTACTGCAGACAGATGCAGGTTAATTATAATTTTACATGTTTATCCTGTTATTGCTTGCATTTCTGAAGATTTTCAGCAGCTGTAGGACCCTGAGTGACTCCCTCCCCTCTCACACAGTGTATTTATTTTCTGGGTTCAGAGTGCTCTGGTCAGTGTCTCCGGCGTTGCTGCGGTGTCCCATGCGGAGCAGGAGGTGGGCTGGGGTGACGGCAGCTCTGTGCCAGGTGGAAGCAATTATGGGAAAAAAAAAATATGGTCCTTGCTGGATGAGGTACTGCTGATAGCTGCCAGATAAGCTAACTTAATAAAGCAGTGGCTTAATTAAGCCGCATTCCTCCCATTTTGCCCCTCGTCCAGCCTGTCTGAGGCGATGCTATCAAGCAGCTACTGCTTTTCAGGATGGGTCAGGGGTGCTGTGCTGATGCACCCCTGTATGCTGGGCACCCTGGGGGACCTACAGGTGATGGGACATAGGGGTGCTCCGGGAAATCTCAGTTTCTCTCTCAGTTTGCAAGGTACTGGGCCTCAAATCCCGAAAAAAAGACAGATCTGCCACTTGCCTAGTCATGGATATATTTATTGGTATCAAAAATTTACCCTAAATCCCATCTTCTGGCATTTAGTGATCCAGAAGCATCTCAATGTCCAGACCAGCAAAGAGGAGCACAATATCTCCCTGCTTCTTCAGCAGCTACCTGCCAGAAAAAAAAAGGGGTGACTTGACTTTGGGAGTGTCCCTATCACTACAGATTTTCTTACAATCACAAAAGCTGGATGTTGCATTAATCAAAATCGTGGTGCCCCAAACCCTCTGTCAGTTTGGGCTCGCTTTTATTCCTGAGTAAAGATTACATGAGAATCAAAAGTTACTATGTTTTTAATTGCTGAAGTGCCCCATTAAAAGTTGTAACAGGTAAAAGTCTGGCAGAAGCTTCATCCTTTGAAAACCAGATTTCAGGTTAATGAATCAACCTAATTTCCCCAGAGATGCAGGTTTTAGGAGTGGAGCTTCTTACACAGCTGTGTGTTTGTTTTTCATGCATGGCCACATGTACAGCTGCATAGCAACCACCTTGCTGAAAGTTATCCAGTAGCTAAAATTATCAGCAGGAACTCCTTCTTACCTCTCATTATGTACAACAAGATTGCTGCTGTGCAACGTTGATTAGACATGTCAGCCTGGACCTGGACATCTGAAAATGAGTGTTGCTATTAAAATGCCTTTGCTAATGCTCATGTGTCCATCACTTTGACAGATTTCACTTTAAGAATGTAGAAAGCAAAAGCATGCAGAAATCCCAGGGTTGCAATGTAATGTTCAGAGAAACAGGTATTGTATTGTATTTCCTTTGCATTAACCCTAAAGTAGCAGTTTCCCTGGCAAAATTTTGCTGATAAGAATGCTGTTGAGTACAGGCTGCACTAATCTGTAGATCTGTAACTTTCAGCTGGGAAGAGATTATCATGGGGAATTGGTTTCTGGAATGTGGTCTGAAGGCAGGGCATCCCTCTTCTAAACACTTGTTTAAGTATGATTTAAAACTTCCACAATGCAGAAAAATGTTCACTTATTTAGAGAAAATATTTCAAAATCTCCTTAGTAGTAAGGCTTGGGAAAAATAAAGCAAAAATTTAAGAGGGACACTGAAAACAAGGAAATTGTTTCTCAGAGCCATCTCATCCCACTGTGGAATCCATTGCTACAAGAAGTCACTGAAGAGAGGGATTTCATCAAACACTTGAATATCAGCCAGGGGAACATGATTTTCTGGTTGTTTTAATGGAAAGACAAAGCACAAGGCTGTGCTTTCTCTGGGGCAATGTCAGAGTGCCAGGGCAGCGTTTAATGGCTGTAACTTGGCATGTGGTGTGTTCTGAATGTATGGCTGTGGGAGAAGGGTTTGATCAGGGCAAGTGGTTTGGCTTTTGGGAGACTCCACTCAGGCAGATAAAACCTCACTTTAGCCACAACAAAGCCAATGAGTGTAGCCAGAAGCCATCACCTGACAAGCTGAGAGGAGAGGCAGCTCCAGCAAGGTTTCCAGCAGGTGAGCCTTTACCCAGGAGCAGGTTATCACATCATCTGCTGGCACAGGTCTTATTGGTCCTAAACCTAAAGGGAATTCCATGGAGCAAGGTACAGATTATGGAATTATGCTGCTCCCTGTGGCTGGTTAGCTCTGGCTGGCACAACCCCACATCTCATGGCACCTCATGGCAGGGATGTCCTCCTCTCCTTGCTCATCTCCCAGCCCTCTCAAGCTGGGCTGTATCTTCCTCTGAAGAGCAGCTACAAGAAAGCCTCTCTTCTTCTGCAGACAGGAGGAGATCAATGTGCACTTGGAAAGCCATCAGCAGGGCTTGCAGCATATGAACAGCCTCCCCAATGCACCTTTGAACTCATTCCTCCTGCATTTGTTTGTCTTGCAGATAAAACTTCACAGCAGTGTTTGGAGAGAAGTCTAATGAGGCACCACTGTTTGCATAACAAAGCAAGGCTTCCTCTTCAGATGTCCAGCACTCATTAAGCATAATTTATATTCCAGCTAATCTTTGAAAGAGGGTAAAATATGGAGCCAAAGTTTGTTTTTACATTGTTTGGAGAAATGCATTGTTTGTTTTAAGCCCTCGGTTGCAACTGATAGTTGATTTAAATTCAACATAATGATGATTTGTGATGGCTACATGGTGTCCAGGGGAGTGTAGTGTCATTGACTCACATGGCTTTAGCACTCTTCTGCATTAGTTATTGAATCAAAGGAAAAGACAGAATGGATGGCTTCCCAGTTTGGGAGATATTTCAGCCTGTCCATAAAGCATGAAAAAACTGTGGATTTGTAAAATACTGAGGGTTTGTTTGGTTGTTTTCCCCCTCAGATTCATGTTTACTTAATGTAATAATGCACTGAACAGCAGGCTTTTTTCTTTTTCAGCCGTCCTGCTAGTCACCAACACGAGACCCTTTGAAAGTCACCAGGTGCCTGCAGTGAGGCACTCTCAGGGTGATAAGGGGCACAGCCATTTGTAAAGGCTCCTGATGCTGCTGGGAGCCTTGGTGACTCCATGTAGTGACTTCATGTGGTTTGCTGCCTAGAGAGAAAACCAGCAGGTTTAGCTGGGTGCCTAAATGTCATTACAGGCCAGTGTGTCAGAAACAGTCATTTCTGACGATTTCTGACAGTTTTGTAATTCTGACAGTTACAAAAGTAATTTCTCAGCATTCAGGCTTTGTTCACATTGTAGGCACATAAAAAGTATCTGATCCTATTGACTCTACACTGCAGTTTTGTCCCTCAGACTACATAAAATACTCTACCTTGGTCCAGCTGAAATACCCAATATATTTAATTTGCCTCCTCCAGGTTTATTGGAAGATGAGAAATTTCTGATAACATTTATCTTCTGTGTACTTCTCACTGAGACTCACCCCTTCCTGCAGGTTTACATTGTAAAGATGGATATTTGAAAGCACCCTTCACTTTGCCATGAAAATGATAACCTGAGCTGTGTATTTGAACAGCACTGAGTTGTCCAGACAACACAAGAGAGCAGGATTTTTGGAAATTACTTGGGATGTTGGGTGGGTCAGTGTTGGGGTACTCTGCCCCAGGCTCCTGAGGTGGCTGGATATGCTGCTGTGTGAAATCCCTCCAGGCCCAGGTGATGCATTTCCCTGCTGTGTTCTGTAATGCTGAGCTCCAGCTGCTCAGGATCCTCATCTTGCTTGGTTCATCACATCCACAATCCACTTATGGCTGTTTTTAAAGGCAGCACCAATCTATAGAGAATACATTTATTCATTCATTTATTTATTTTATTGTTTTTCAGGAAAAAATGCTGTAAGGGTTATAAGTTTGTTCTTGGACAATGCATCCCTGAAGGTATGTGATTTCACTGTTCTTACACATCATGTCCCCATGCATTTGTCTTTCCCCATCTGTCTTCTTCTCCACATTGTCTGGAAGAGCAACCTGATACAAGCACAGTCTTGGCCATATCTCATGTATCAGTGTTGGGAGGAACTGTTTCCCAGAAATTGTTGGGAAAATAAAAAGATCAACAACTTCCAACAGTTCTGCTTTGCATGCCAAGCCTTGATCCTCCCCTCAGTACGTGTGGCTGCACAGATCTTGTGCCATGACCTGCTGCAGTGCAGACGGAGGAAGGTGTTCTGCCCTTGGCTGGGTAGTTGGGAGCACTCAGAGCACCCAGAACACCTTTCCTGGGTGATGGTTTTCCCCTTTCATCCCTCGGATCTGGTTCAGCTGACTTGACTTGTCAATGCACAGGGAGATGCTGAGCAGGTGAGTTAGTCCTGCCTTTAATTTCCCATGGGCATGGCTTCCTTGTCATCAGGGGCCAAGGAAGATGCAGATTTAATCAGGATAGTTCATGCAGTAGTAAAAATGGATTTGATTTAGATGAAACTGGCTGTGAAGTTGTTGGACCACAAGAACTGCCAGGCAGGAATAAATGCCCAGAGATGACATGCCAATAAACTTTTTTTTTTACAGAAAGTAATTTTAAAAGTTTATCTATGACAACACATTCTTCTATTTGATGTCATATGAAAAGCTTTACTTGGTCTGAGAATTTTCCTTGTTTGTGACTGTGATGTTTTGGAAAAAAAAGTGGCAAATTAACATACATGGAGAATCAGCTGTTTTTGAGTTATAGTGTCCAGCCAAAAGGGATTATAATCCAAACTCTAATCCTAGTGGGTTTGTTGTGGGTTTGTTGCTGCTGCTGGTTTTTCATTTGTGTCTTCTTTGCTGCTGGCTAGAAACACTAAAACAATTGGTGGATTGATGGGGGCAGGGACAGGGAGAAAAAGAGAGGGAAACAGCTCATCATGACTCTGTGCCTGGAGGAACCAGGTAGGGTTTGGGTGAAATTGGTGCTCACATGTAGTTCCTCATCCCATGGCTCTGCTGTGAGTTTTGTCTCAGCATGTGTGATATGGGTGACAGTTCCAATGTGAGACAGACACTTGGAGGAGGCAGCTGTGTGCATTGGAGGCAGAACTCCTGAATCCTTTCAGAGTGGAAAGAAACCAGGACTCTACAGTCTGGCCTCCAGCCTTCCTATGGATTTAAGAATTTTCTGCACTGGCTATTCACTGAATATAATGGATACAGCAGGAGAATTAATAGCACCAAAAATAAAATTAGAGCCATGGCAATTTATTACTTTGGCTTCTAATTTTCATCTCTTGAGATGTTCGGTGATTATGAAAGCAGCTTTTATTATGTGCCCACTGACTTTGTCTAATACTGCTTTTTAGCTGCATTTCAGTAACCTGAGAGTTTCTGCCCCAATTCAATTCTCTGCTGGCTGCAGCTTCTCTCCCTTTGTTTCTCCATTCCCCTTTTCAGCTTTATCTGTATTTTGCTTGGAACTTCAGTGGCCACAGAAGTTGCTATAACATTGGAGACAATCTCAGGTCCTCAGTACAGCAACAAGAAACATGATTTACTGAAGTATTCGTTTCACTTACTCTGTTACAAGACATCACTTGGCTCTTCACACATTGTTTTGGCATTATCTTGACAGAGTAGCTGTATGAAATCCATATCTCCAAACAGCCACATAAATGCATTACAGATGTGAGTTTATTAGAGCACATCTGCACCTTTTAATCCAGTACTGGCACATTGAAACTGTGAGAAGTAGTTCCAGTCCTGTCTTCTCTGTGATTTAGCAGTGGCTGCAGGGAGGAGGGTTGACAGAGGTGTAGATCCTCCCTTGTCCACCCTTTAATAGCTGCCTGGGGAAAACACCCATCTCCTTCTGAGACAGCCATTCCTTAAACAGACTCCCAAAGGTTTGTGGCTTTGTCCATGTCCCTTATTGGTTTTCGTCCTTTATTTTTCATTTGCCCTTGAAAAGGAACAGAAATCAGTGTAGTACAATACAAGTCTATGCCTCCAGTTTCTGCATTTCATTTGTTTTGTACTCTCCTTCTCCCTGTGGCTTTTAGCTTCAGAACCAGGGAGCAATCACTCTCAGGAAACACTGAGTGGCATTACTTCTGTGTGTCTCTCCACAGCATCTCTCCACCTGTTCAGCAAAGTGGATAAAAAAACCAGCTCCTCACCTTTTTCTCCTGTGTGATCTCCTTTTTCTCTGCTTTGGAGACTCACAGCTCCAGCCAAGTCCAGTCTTGGGTCCTGTCTCATGGCATCATAGAGTGAAGAAGGGTCAGGTGCAGTATGGAGCTGTTTATTTTGGAGACCACCCTTCCTACTGCTGGTTTGTTTCCTGAGTTGGCTGTGGAAGAATTCAGAGTGAAATACTCTATTACAGGCAAATTATAGTCAGATCTGCTTTTTCCTTACTAATGTTGTTTCAAAAATTTCCTTGGTACAACTTTCCATGATGTATCATCATTTCTGAGTTCATTAAAACTTATACAGAGACACTTGTTTTTCTGCTTTGGCGTTCACATTTTCCTAAAGTCTGGGACAACCTGATCCTCATTGCATGGTTTTGATCCATCCTCAAACCATATTTCTTAGGCTGAGCTGGAAAACAAGGGAACACAGGAAGGAATGTTCATCTCTGGTTCTGCAGAGCACACACAGGTGGTGCAGCAGCTTTTGCCTAATTCCATCTCAGTTGTGAGGACTGTTTCTAGGGAAGTCATGTTACCTGGGACCAAAGCCCTGGGGATACAGCTCTGGGACCTGCCTACAACCATTGGGTGACCTGGGTTGACTGTGTGTAGCCACCAGCAGGGATATTTGTACTTCCTGGACCCTTGCCCAGTTTTGTGTGAAGGTAAATGAGGCAATGGATATGGTGGAGCTGTGGACATGACATCCTGAGGTGGACCTGAACACCACGTTCAAAGACTGGTTACATTAAATATAGTGACAGATGGATAAAAAGAACTGGCATTGTTTAGTCTAGAAAAAATGAGGCTGAGAGGGAGACATGATAAGGGTTTTTAGGTAGGTGAAAACTTGCTGCAAGGGGGAAGGTAAACTGTTTTTTATGGCTGAGGAGAAGAGGACAAAAATAATGGGCCTAAGTGGCTGTAAGCGGAGTTTGGATTAGATATGAGTAGAAAGCTTTCTGTCTGCAAGGATATTTCATCTTGGGACTAGACGACAAGGCAGGCCATATCCACCCCTTAGGGAAAAGGAAAACTAGGAAAGGTTTATGCATAGCTACTCCTGCTTGTGATGGGAGATGGCCCCTTCCAGCATTGTTTTTTCTGATTTTGTTAGGGCACATCTATTCATGGGAGCGCAGGGAGGCCAGAGCTCGTTTTACCTCTGCTCTGAATAGCTGAACATGGCACAGGCCAAGTCCCACAACTGAGTGAGTACACTGGGTAAGGAGTAGCACTTTCACCTCCATGCTGGACATACTGTCCTGTTCTCACTCTTCTTTCCACTTCAGTGGAAAAAGAAAATTGCAGCCATGCCCAGGAAAAACACCAGCAATGCTTTGTAGTTGGGACTATTTAGTAGTGCCAAATGTAACAGGAGTTCACAGCCCAGCATCACCTAAAGAGTCCAAACTACCCCCAGACTGAGTGGTTTGAAGGCAAGAGTTATGTTTTCCTTTCATGGCTCTGCACTGTTGGACCCTGGTTACTGCAGGGGGTCCTAGATTGCCATTCACCACCACAGCACTGTGGGCAGGCTTCAAGTTGTGAAGCAAGAAGGAAAGAAAGAAAGGATGTCCATTATTCAGGAGGTGACAAGCAGAATGCTTGGCACTATTACAGCAGTATGTCTGTTACAATAGTACATTTTCTTAAGGGGTTCTGGTGTGACATACAGCATCTTGTTAAGTCTCATTTTGTGTTTTTCTGTATTTTGGCATGCTATCACTTTTAACCCCAATGCTATGCATGTGCTCTATATACTTCATACAGAAAATGTGTTTTCATTTGCTTTACCACCTCTTAGCTCATTTTAATTGTTTGGAACAATCATCGTACCCAGAGGTATCTGCTAGTCATTAGGGTGAGTCAATAATGAGTTTTAATTATGTATATGGAAACACAGTGCTTTGCTGGGAACTTGCTTGAACCACTTAGATTTGTTTGGACATGTTAGGTCTGGAGCACAGATGAGATATTTCTGCTGTGGCCCCCAGTAGCCACTCACAGGATTGTCACAGCCAGCTGCATGCTCTCTGCAGGGTGATGTTCTGAAATGGTCACAGAAACTGTCACTTGCTTTGGTGTGAAACCTGACCTTGGGCAGTGCCCAAGCTGGTTTTGAGACCAAATCCTACTTCACCTCCCAGTGTCTCCTGGCAGATGTCCCCCATGGTGCTGCAAAAGCCTCACACCCATAGCTGGGACTTACCCTTCTCCCCCAGCCCTGCCACCAGCACCACGCCAGGGGCCACATCCAGCCCCTGACAGGACAGGGATGTGGGTCAAACCCCATTGTGCTCTGGTGTCCATCCCTGAGGCTTCAGTTCTGCTGCTACACAGCACTGAAATTAGAAACAGATTTTTCCTCCTTTAGGTTTCAAACAGGGACTTCAGTCTTTTGGGATTTCTCTGACATACCCTGATCTGCACACTGCAGCTATTAAGAGAGATTATGGGTTTGTAAAAATGCACTCTTTGCTAGAAGAATTTCTCTTTGAACAATTAACATGTGATATAATTAAGTTTTCCTTGTGTTATACTTTCTGTCTGGCTTTGGCAGTAAACATCATGGTTTCTCACAGTTCTCTGCATTGGAAATGTTGCTATCAGACTTAAAAATCTGTTGAAGAAAACCAAAAGAAAATTTTAGGTAATTTAATATTTCTGTGAAAATAATTCCTAAAATCTGCCAACTGCAGAAGTGACTCTTGCTTAAAATACAGCTTTAAAAAAATAGTCTAACTACTGTAAAGCTGTGAGTAGCAATTACAATTTTAATATATTCCTTTGCTTATGTCTCATGAATGTTTTATGTCTAGGTTCCTACAGTCCTTAAAAACAATGTAACTCAACTTTATATTAATTAGCAGAGAAGTGAAATATTTGCAATCTAAGTATCATCCATCTACAGACTTTGGTATTTTTCCTAACCATGTTTTTCTCTCCCTTAGACTACGATGTCTGTGCTGAAGCTCCCTGTGAACAGCAGTGCACAGATAATTTTGGACGAGTCTTATGCACTTGCTATCCTGGATACCGCTACGACCGGGAGAGGCACAGGAACAGAGAGAAGCCTTACTGCCTGGGTGGGTGGATGAGCATGTTGAGCTTCTCCCTGGTTAATGATTTATCCTGTTTCCTTGGGTCTTTTAAGAGTCAGTTTGGATTTGAAACCTTTCTTATTCTCAGTATTATTACAGAAAAAATGTGGGGGCTAACTAAGTCAAGAATTGAGATACCTAGATTCCCCCGAAATTACTAGGAGGTATAACCTACAACAAGACATACACACTCAAAGACTTTGAAGTGTCAGGCTGATGTAATTTTTCCTTTAATTTCTCCTGCAGGTTGTGAGCCATATTTGCTGAATACTGAAGCATTATCACCAGGCCTAAATACTAAAACTAATCCTTGGGGTTTAATTCAGGTGGCCAGTAAATAATTCAGGACTGATCTTAAATGTGATCCTGCTGTGGCTAGTCCTGCCCTGCCCTGTACGGTTTGCCATGCCAGGGAGCCAAGGTGTGCAAGACTGAGCTTTGCTTGTGAGCTTTTCAGTGCAAGGAGACTGTCAGAAAACTGATAAAATGCCAGGTGTGCTGATAATAATAATAATGGTGCAGCTTTCCCAGAGCTCCAGACCAAAGATTCCAGCTGCAATTGTAATTGTGGCGCTGCAATTACAAATTTGTTTAACCACAAAATCTCTTTTACCTCTAAAGGAAGTCTTTTATTGTGTTGAAGGTCTGAACCCTCCAGCTACAGGGAACTTTTAATTTCTGCTTCTCTCCAGATATTGATGAATGTGCCACGAGCAACGGGACTCTGTGCTCTCAGATCTGTGTCAACACCGTGGGCAGCTACAGGTGCGAGTGTCACGAAGGCTATGTCCGGGAGGAGGATGGCAGGACATGTACCAAAGGAGATAAAGGCAGGTGCTAAATGTGCAGACTAAATGTCCTGGGTCAAATGGATGTCTAAAGGATTGGTCTGTCATGAAGAGGAGCTGTTCCTGATGCTACACTTGGAGCTGGGGATCCAAAGCTGGGATGTAGCTGATGCTCCTGGGGCAGCCGGGCTGTTGGCTGGGCACCTGAGCAGCCCTGCCAAACTCTCCCCTCCAATGCACAAATACACTGGCAGATGTGGGAGGCATCTCCTAGGGAAGCAGAACAGCTGAATAATGAAATTTACCATTACAACTTCAGTTAGATCATTCCTGCTGGATCCAGTTGCTAAAAGCTGTAGTTTGCGCCAATACTAGCCTGGATTATGACTTTTTTGTGGTCCAGAGCTAAGGAGTCAGGAAAAAAAAATACCAGATGACAAGCCTTAAAAAATTTCACTGATTTCACCTGTTAAATAATTTCAGTAGTTTTAATTTGTATTTACATGCCCACATCTGATATTAGCGAATGGCCCTGGGTTGGATGGCTAGTGCCCCTTGGCCCTTAGAGGCCCAGAAAATTCGTGCTTGGGAGTCCAACACGTTTTCCAAGCCTTGCTTAAATCAATTTCTAAATTACATTGATTAAGACCAAATGCTGCTGATCTGCAATTAGTTTGTGTGTTCTGTGGCTGGGGTAATTTTTTTTATTACTTATTTGTTTATTTATTTAATTATTTATTTATTTTAATGAAATGTGATGGGAAAGGGGTAAATGTAAAGGCTTGTTCTTGCATGTCACTGTTGGTTCAAAGTGTATACATGTGCTGTGTACAAATTATCTTAAAGGTTTTGACCTCATCCCAGTTATTAAATTACAGCATTTAGAATGTCACAGATTAAATACTGATATGAAAATTTGAAAAGGAAGGAGAAAGAGAGCAGTGCTCCAGAAAAAAAAAAAAACTTTTGATGAATGGTGACTTACCACATGATCATCAATTAATGCCTGAATGTGGTATCACAGGGTGATCCAAATCCCACTGGATGGCCAGAGCAATTTATAATTTTGATTTTCATCTGAAAATGTGTAACTGGAGCCACTCCATTAACTTTAAGCATTCCTTGTAGTTATTTTTTTTTCCTCTGTGTGTGTGTGTGTGTATGTGTGTGTGTGTGTGTGTGTGTGTGTGTGTGTGTGTGTGAAAGGAAAGATATATAACCTAGATAATCCCTTTACAAATAGGGAGTCTTTTTTAACTTTGTTTCTGGATGATACAGTAATTCAGTAAAAGCATTCAGGATAACCAACAATTCAAAATATTCAAGGCTATGGGAATTATTCTACTGCATAAAACCCACCATTTTACACTGAAAGTACACGGCACATAAAAATGTCAGTTCCAGCAGATAATCTGCAATGAAATACCCACCATCTCTCCAGATATCTCCAAAATCAGCTGTGCGAAGAAAAGGATGCTTTCTGGTCAGTCACCGCGCTGTACCCCACAGACTTGTGGTGCAAATGAGAAGTCACGTCCGTAAGTCATTCCGGGGATAAGGGCTGTGTAAGGAACCAGCTGTAGGGACGCTCCACCCTGCGGCCAGCCCCAGCCCTGCACCGCATCCCTGCCGGAGCAGCCGCCTAATAAACACATCACTTGCTGTTCATCGTAGCCAGAACGCTCGCATTTTTTTTCAGAATTTAGTGTGAGAGTGAAAAACACGGGTACCCCCCTCCATCTCTAACGAGGGTGCATGTTTTCCGGGAGATACAGCCGTGTTTTCATCATTCCATGCCCGAAGGATGCAATCCAGACACGTTTTTGGCTCTGTTAGTGGCTGCAGTGTGGTCACTATTTTTTTTTTTTCCCTCTGTAAGTGATTTGACAGAGAGCTTTGGGTCGGTGAGTGGACACAAGAAGAGGGAGCGTTTTTTTCTTGCATCCACAGTCCCATTTGATGGAGACAGTACAGCTACCCGTGCAGAAGTAGGCAGATGAAACCATCTCAGCAGGCTGAGCCCAGATAATACAACACAGATGGTCAGCTCAAGCGCCTTCCTGCGAAGACCGCCCGCAGCAGAGCTCCCGCAGAGCTCTCCCCTGCCAGCATCTCCTCCTCTCCAGCAGCAAGGCACAGCCTCCAAGCCCATACACAAGGAAAACACATCACCCTCCCAAGCAGATCTCCTAGCAGTAGGTGCCACAGGGCTCACCAGTGTCTCACCAAGATTAAAGGGCTCCCATCATGCGTGAGCTAGACTTTGTGTTCTGAGAACCTTGATAAAATGGGGCTGCTTTAGGCCTTCTTCAAAATAATTTCAGCTTCCCTGTGTAGGCCTGTGCAATGGGAGCAAGTTATGTAAGTGGCTTGCTCAGTGCTGGCCCAGCTGACCCTGGTAGGTGACCTCGGTTCTGCACCATGCATGGGTGACTCCATCTAATGGCCTTTTGCCTCCACTGGCCTGTCCTAGGTGACTTCTGGCTTTATCCACACTTTATTCTGGCTTTACTCTTAGTTTGGTCCTGATACAGGGTTGGATGGGGGTAGAGCAAATGTTTGATGGATGACTCCTTCCCTGGGCAAATCATCACCTCTGTCTGGTATGAGTTAGGGGGATTCCTCCTCTCTCCTGGGATGTAGCTCATGCTTGCTCATACAAGGATCTTGGACTTCTTCCTCCGACAAGTCAATTCAGCCGGCTTTCCAGAAATCTCACTGGTATGACATTTCCCAAACATTAGCTGATCCCCCCAGCATTCATCTCCATGGATTGTTACAGTCCTATTTTATCTGTATTTGTCAGCCCCATGTGTCACATCCTCCTGGAAGATAAACTGGGTTTTATAATGAAACACGAGGCCAAATTCACCGCTTCTTAATCTGCATATAACTCCACAGATTCTGGTGGGATTGCATTAGGTTTCCAATAGCAGAGGCTCTGGCAGTTTCTCCCCACGACTGTGTGCTGCTTTCAGCAACATTTCTTAACACAATGATAGAACTCATTTGGTGAAATAGCTATTAAAAGAAATTTTTATTGAGACTAGTACAAAGTCCAGACTTTATTGGTCTTTGAAAAAGAAATGGAAAAAAAAATATTTTTTTTTTTATTCCTTATGGTTCCATATACATCCATCTGTAACTCATACAAAGGTCCAAAAATGGGCAAGACACAGGGTTTTTCTAAAGGAAGATCTAAAATTGGAGAGGGAGGAACAAAGCTGACTTGTGGTCAAGAGCAAATTTATTCTACAGAAATGTAAAGTGTTGTCTTCATTACAGAACATCAGTTCCCTCTTAAGGAAAAAAAATGCCCTGCATGGTGCAGAAAATTTCATCTACAAGAGAAAGGTTAGCATTAGGAATATAGGAGAGAAGAAGGAAAGCAGAATATGCTGTGTATTCTGGTACCTTCACAACAGTGCTGGAGCTCCTCTGGGTGGTCTTGTGGCTAAATAGTCTTGGATCCAGCATAGCTGAAATTTGGTGAAATTCTATTCTGTGCTATGTAGAGTCCATCAGCAAACACCAACTATTACCATCTGGACTTAAATCTTTGAGCCATCTGAGCACTGCACAGAGAGCTGATCAGGTACCAGACCTGTGCTGGGGAAAGGGCTGGGAAGCTCAAACAACAGTATGTGCTTGTTGCCATAAAAATGCCATAAAAATGGTAAATAATATGCATAATATTGTAATGCTGTTGGAGTGCAGCCATGGAAGCAGGCAGTTCATGACTGGGGGAAAAACCCAAGCCTTTGTGTCCCAGTTTGATGGAGATAGTTTTCCAGTTTTCCAATCAGTTCAGTACTAATAGATGTCTTAATGCTCCTGGCTATTCCAGCATCTTGACCTTACATCTCTCCTAGCTGATTAGTAAATAAGCAAGATAAATTTTTGTCTTCTAAAATCAAGCATGTCTTATCTGTCATTATAGCCAATGGACTAAACATACTGAAAATCAGCCTTTCCTAAATATGTGCATAGGTGGTCCATATACAATGGATCAGATGGTTGCAATCTTCCATACTGGACCCTGCAAATATTTAAAGTCAAGTAGGACATAATATTGTTAGTATTAGAAACTTCAGGATTCATTTAAAAATATGCAGATGTTTCAAAATCAATACACATTTCCAAAAAGATGAAGGGTATTTAAGGGTGTGTACAAGAGACAAGCATAACACAGTAACTCAGCATGATGCAGTTGATCCTTTTGGAAGATTTTGAATATTCTCTGGCTTTAACAGGAGCACCTGCAGAGTTTTTCCACTGTGGGACATGCTCTGAAAGGTCAGTGTTCAAACATGCCCAACAACACTCCCATGTAACATCAAGGACACAAGGCATGTGTAACAGCAAGGCCACACATCATATGCAAAGCCTCTCTAGATTTGATATTTCCCAGCAATGTTGAAGTGAAAAAAACTCACCTGGAGTTTGCCAGTATGTGTCACCCTGTGGTTTGGAAACCAGATTTGTCTTTAAGCAGACATCTGTTACAGCAATGCTTGTTTGCTTGCAATGCAGCACTTCTTGACTGTGTGGTACTGGGGAAAGGACAAAAATAACATTTGTGATATCTCTCACAGTTTCAATAACTTAATGGATTCTTGAAAAGATCCTATTCATGCATAGTATCAACAGATGTGACCCTTCCTCTTGCATGGTTTAAAATCCCTGTCATTAATCTCAATCCTCATCTCTGCTCAGGCTGATTCCATCACATGGAGAATAACCCATGACGATAAAGAGCAGTTTGTGCAAAATGAGCAAAATAAGCATATTCTGAGGGGTTTTACTGTAATTTATAGCATATGAACATTTGCCCCTTGGGGGACTGTAAATCAGTTCAGATCTATGGGGTTAGTCTACCCTAAACAAAAAGATAAAAGAAGGGGTGTGAACTTTTCCAGGTATTAAACAAATGAATCCTCTAGGGACTGTTAACTAGAAACAGCTGCTTTAAAAATGTGCTCAGAGCTGTCCCTGCAAAGTTTCTCAGTCTTACATAGAAATTCAGTCAAAGATTTAATAATGGCAGGATTCCCTTCTCTTTTCACAGTCTGGGGAAATATAACAACTTTCAAGTTGCTTTAGCTATCACTTTATGAAATTCTTTCCCTTGGATCTTTGTGTTTATAGTGGAAACTGCTTTCTTTCAGCTGGGCTTCCTGAGAAATCTGAAAATGTGGCAAAACCGGGGACATGCTGTGCCTCTTGTAAGGAATTCCATCAAATAAAGCAGACGGTTTTACAGCTGAAGCAAAAGGTATGAACACTGGTCACTCACGTGTTTACCAGACCTGCATGTTTTACAATAACTGAGGCTAATTTTTATGTTTGGAGCTGTCACTGACATGGATGGCAATATATTTTAAAATTATGTAGGAATGGCATCTCTCCCTTATGCTCCTGTACAACTTGTAAGCAGATTGCTCCCCAAGTTCATGGAGCGGTGTGGTAACAAGCTTGTGGTAACGGAGTCTGACAAACACCCATCCCAGGCTGAGACCAGGTTTCTTGGCAATCTGTGCTAGTCCTGAGCTTTTCGTTCACTCTGAATGCACAGGATTTTGGACATGGTCCACCTTCAGAGTAAGCATGTGCAAGACATTTCATAGATGCATGAACATGATTCTTCATTAATAGGATGCTGATACAAGATTCTTGCCAAATAGGTGTAAGACTAAACAAAAATATCGCTAGCTTTATATATGACCTTCCCCTTAAAGAAAGAAAAACCCTCAGTCACAAACCTTTCTTTTTGTTTTCACCTATTCCCGTGTAAATGCATTTAGAAACTTATTCTGGGCTTTAATTGCACCCATGTGTAGCTTCCTTTCGCACTTTAGTAGGATTGAAATAATGCAAAGACCCAGCCTCAGATTTGGAGAGCCATATGCAGGGATGCAGGTGTAATGCCCTTTTTGGTGATGTCTCCTTGGAACACAGAGGTTCTCTCAAACTGAAGCTCTCTGTAGGAATATTCTCAGCAATTCATGCTGACAGGCTGTAATTATTTCACCCAGGGTACTCAATTAATTTCTTTCCATTGTGCCAAAACATGATTTGGTGTATTCACTCATGGCACTTGATGTTACTCATTTCATATTAAGAAGAAATAAATCTTCATTAAAGTGAAATTCATTAAGGTTGGAGACACTCTTTATCTCCAGATTCTCAAAACATCATGTATTCCTTCTGAATCAGTATGAACACAAACGTGAAAGTGGCAGAATTTCCTGTATGATGGAAATTCTGTTTTTCAAAAATATGGTAGCAGAGAGGTTAAAAAATATCCATGTTTTTGAGTGGCTGTTTCTCCAGCTGTTGTCCATGATGCTGAGCAGGCTCACACTGACCTCCAGGGATCTGGGGGTCACATTGTTGGCCACATTGTTTGCTTGAGAATTGATTGATGGAATTAATGGAAGTTTTTTGTGTCTAACTTCTGCTGTTAGATGCTTGTGTTCAAAATCCATTCCAGGAAAACTCAGACCACTGATACCTGTCACACTGGGCATTTGCACAGTAGCTGTGGACAAATAAGCAGCTCACTCTTTCTTCATAGCTAAGTCCTGTCATTGTCCCTAACTAAATTTTTCCCCAGTATCCCCCTAGTGAGATTTGATTGACTTGGGATCCTCAGTGGGAGCCCACTGGGTTGTGCTCCACAGAGAAAGAGCTGAAAGAGGAGGTTCCTGATACCCTCAGCAACTGTTACCCACAGAAAGGAGAGCTTTTGTCTATGCTGAATGGAGACCTGGCCCCATGGTGCTTCTCTGCCCAGGGAGACATCAGCCCTCATGTTTCACCAGCCACTCCCCGTGGCCAAGTTCTCCTGGGGAAGACATCTCTCAATAGCTGTGGTTAAAGCTGCTCTGTTTTGCATAGAATAGTTCATTTCTGTCTGCCAGGGAGATGGTTTATGAAATGAGTCTTCAGTCTTGTGGTTAAGGCTTTCAGATTTTATGAACTTTATTCAAAACTGTGGTTAGCAGAAAAGCCTGTCATCCAATGAGACACACTGTCCTGACAGAGTAGAGGTCTGTGGGCAGTCCTAGGTTGATCTAAGACCTTGATGAAAGGAAGAAGAGTGGAGAGCTGAAAAACTGGGGGAAAGATATCTGGCATGCTGACACACAGCCAACAATTAAAAAAAGAAAAAATCGAGTAAGCCTGGTCCTATTGCACAGATGTGTTTAAACATCTTAATTAGAAAGCCATGTTCCAAATCACTCCTGACAAGCACTGTCCAGTTTTCTAAACCACAGACCTCCTAGAAACTATGCCAAACTCCAAATGCAGCATGCAAACACAGCACATGGAAGTCTTGTTTCTTGAACAGTCTCTCTTTAGAATTTACCCTTGCTAATGTTTGCATGCACATGGGGAAAAAAAATCCCATTATTTTCCAAAGGCCTTTAGGATTTGGAGCTGTAGATGGACAAAGCCAAGGTTACCCTGGACTAGGACCGTGGTTCAGTTGAAAGGTGAAACAGAAATTAGGCCAGTGAGTATAGCCAATAGCTAAGAGGATGTGAGTCAACAACAAAAACACATGGTTTGGCCCAGTGCATGTAACAACCATTTTCTGCCAGAAGATATCAAAGAGCAGTGAGCTAGACCAGAGCCTGGGTATTTTGGCACTCCCAGTGTGTATTTCAAGTTCAGCTGAGTCAGTGGGGAAGCATGCATAGATGCTTTCACAGCAGCTATGTGATTTCTTTTCTAACTCACTCAGTTGTTACAACAGCCTGGTTGGCAGGAACAAGTAAATATTTAAACATCAGAAGAGAATACACTTCCAAATCCCCTTCATGATGAGTATTTGCCACTAAATGCACCTTTTTACTCCAGTCTGACCGTTTGCAGTATAACTTGAAGAGTATTCATGGCTGGGTCTTTGTACTATGTGACATCTATTTATCAACTGATAGAGCTATAGATCCCCAGAATGAGATATTCTGAGAAATTTACACACAAGCTAAAACGAGCACTTCAGTTAATCTGCCACTCAACTGTAGCCACCCCTAAGGAGAAGCATTCACTGATGACACTAAAAATATCCTCACAAAAACTACTTTAAAAATATCATACTCTCAGGTAGCCACATGATTTGACTTTTTGTCTCTGTCTTAGCATGGCAGCATTGGCACTGCAGAGTCCTTAGCTGATTTGTGTCATGTAGTGGAAGTTTTGCACCATGGTCCTTGCAAGCCTTTCCCTTCTATCCAGCCAGGAACCTGGCTCTGTACAGGACACACCTCAAGGAAAAAAAACTTTTCAGACCAGAGCCAGCCAGTGGAGCTTCCCGTGCTGGTCCCTGTCCAGTGAGGCTGTGAGAGCCCCCAGCTACTGAATTTTCCTCTTCAGCCCCAGGGGTAGGGTGTTGTCCCACAGAGTAGCCCTCTATCTTCAGTAGCCCCACAGTTTGGTCTGCGCTGCATTGGCTGGGAAGTTGGCTGAGAAAGCTGCAGGGTCACTGGCAAACAAAGCACATGCTTTCTTTTGAAAAAGCAGAGATGACAGCTCACCCCAGGGCTATAGGTATGCTGAATCCCCATTTTCTGTGTGAAAACCAAATTCAGAGGAGTGAGAATATAAGAAACACCCTGTGGGACTTCTGTGAAAATATGACCTCATCCAGCCACTGATTTCTGCAGGAGTGGAGTGAATCTACCAAATTCTTGTTTGACTTACATCATGATTCTTAATTTGCCTATAGTGCAGTCATCTGGTCCTTGGAACTGCAATTCTCTCCAAAACCTAACTCACAAATGGCTGATAAATCCTTGTGATCATGTCATCACATTTTGAGTTCCAGTCTCAAAATCAAACTGGTGTTTCGGAAATGCCACCAGGAACTATCTCAGCATTTCCAACTTTATCTTTCCCTGATGTTTTTTTCCTTCAGAACTGTTCTGTGCATTCAATCCCAAACTACAGGCAGCACTGGCTGCCTTTAAATTCTAATCTTTAAACAGTTCCTTGTTTATCAAAGGAAATTTTCCCAGTTCAGGTAGTTATTGCAGGTGCATAACACTGTGTTTTTTCTCCTGTGCATTACAAACATTAGATTTGGAGTAATGGCAGAATGTATGTCAAATAATTACAGAAACAGGTAGGAGTCTTGAGAACAGCCCAGCTCAGAGAATTCTAGATAGCTGATTAGCTTTGTCAAAAAGCAGGAGTTGTCATCTATTTTATTCAATGCAGTTCTCAAAGGTAAATGTTGCAAATTCAACATCAAATTATCCAATGAGCCAAATTCATTCAAGAAGCAGCAAAGCTCACCCAGGGGTAGGTCTGTAGTGCTATTGCTGAAAAAGTTTTCCAGTTCAGTTTGGCAGAGCAAAATCCCTAAGTCTACATGCAGCCACTCACCACTAATAAACTTCTTTCCTCACTGCAGACCAGCCTCCTGGCTTGTCATCTCCCTTCAGCTACCTTTTAAGAGACGAAACATTTACAGAATATTTCTAAATACGTTTAATTATTAAATATATACATATATTTTATTATATAATATATATATAATTTATATATAAATATGCATTATTAAATATATTCAACTGGATAGATGAATGTTTCATGGATAATTAAACAGGTAATGGATAATGACTTCTAACTATAGTGTGCAATTCTCCTTACATTCTCATTTACTTTATCTTTGTGTCTCTGTGCAGAGCAGATCCAGATATCTGATGAGTTAAATAGTGTGGGTACTTTCCAGAGCCAGATTCACAGTGTTGGTGTCTGAAGCACAGAGTGCATGCCCTTATCTCTGATATCTGACTCTGACATCCAAGAAAACACTGAATTTCATGTAACACCATGAAAATAACTGTTAAAGTTAAATAGAAAAACTAGAAGTGTAAGTGTGTAGATTAGAAAATTTTCTTAAGTCACTGGGTGAAAAAGTTAGTTTAGAGTTTAAACTAGTTTAGAGGACAGAAGACAAGATGCAAGATTTAGAGTGTTTTCTCTTGTTAGGGTGTTGTCTTCTTTGTTCTTCATCTTCTTCTAGAGGTTTTTGGGGAGTAGTAGGTGATTGGTTAGAAAATGCCACAGTGCAGCACACAGGCCATTGGGTCGCTAAGAAAAATAATTTACATGTCTATTGTTAATTGGGTGAAAATAAGTATAAAGATAAAAGAGCTGCGTATTTCAGGGCCATTTTGTGCTTCTTGATCCAATTTGATCCAGGCAACGATGGGTTGAACTTGAGCAGAAAGTCTGGGGAAGACCTGCCGAGTCTTTTGATTATATATGAATAAACACAAGAAACAAGAAGCTAAGGAGCCTTTGGAGTATCCTTCCTGAAACAGAACTGAGATAAAGGAAACTCCCCGTGAGGAAGTATCCCAAGGGGCTCAGCCCTGAGGAGACTGACATCACCAGCAACACACAAAGTATTTAGGGTTTTCATTAAAACCTATGGAAAGTTAGTGGCTTGCTGCTTGTTCACATGAAAGCTTAAAAAAGAATGTGATTTACCTGTCTGAACAATGAAGGTCTTACATAGGGTTTTTTGTCTTGGCAGGTTGCTTTGCTGCCAAATAACGCTGCTGATCTTAGCAAGCAAATCACTGGTGAAAAAGTGCTTGCCTCTAATGCATATATCCCTGGCCCCCCAGGCCAGCCTGGCCAACCAGGCCCTCCAGGTAAGACCAGAGGAGTGGAAATGTGCAATAGCACTTGCACTAAAATAGCAAGCTTCAGTCTTCCAGTGTGATATGATTTCATATATTTCATATTTTGATTGATATGTTGTGTTTGCATTTGTGCTAAACTTAAAAAAAAAACAAAAATAAAAACAACTTTATGGTTGTTATGGTCAGCCTCTGCCAACTGTCTGACATCATTCATTGTGACTCCATGTGTTTCTTGGCATGCAAGAGTGTTTGTCCTGTATGTGTTAAATTTGTCCCTCTCCCTGAGATATCTCACCTGCTTCAGTTGTCATTTCCTGTATTTTAACCTGTCTTAAAACACTGTCCATTTCATTTCAGGAATATCTATTGGTTTAGCTCACTTTCAGTAGTAGAGGGAAAAAAATGTGCTTTCAGTTTGTAGGAGTTTGTGCCAACCCTTTTATCTTTCCTTGCCTGATTTGTGAGGATTCTTCTGCTGGTTTTATGTTGTATTCCAGATTGAAAGGAATCTGAAAAGTATAACTACACTCTTCTTTGCTAAGTTTTAGATTGGAACAATGCAAAAACCAGAGAGATCCTAAAGCCCTAACTTAATCCAGACACCTCATACCTGGTGGCCAGCAATACTCAAAATTTTGCAAATGCAGATCTAATTTTCGGTCAGCAATAAATCCAAGCATTGTGCTGGATTTCAGAAGTATACTTACCTCTGTAAGTTTAATATTTACTGGCAAATATTCTTATGAGGATTGATTTAGTCCCTCCTGAACTGCACCTCACTTTCCCATTTATACCCCCTTTTGCAGTCTTGCTTTGTTTTCTGAGTCTCTATCTTATTTTCCTGGAGGATGAGTATCTTCAGTCTTCAGTTCATCGTAAGTGCAAGGACAGTATGTTAGAAGTTCTGTAATACACTCTGAAGGGTAGAGTGGGTTGCTTTGCAGTCCCTCCAAGGCAGGCCTGACCCTGCAGGTCTCCCACCCCCTCAGTTTCCCCTTGACTGAGCTGTCCGAGGTACTGTAGAAATCTGCTCCCCTTAAAACCACCCCTGCTCACCTCCTCTGCTGCCCCCCAGGAAGAGTCCCAGGGAGTCATCACTGAACTTGAGTTGTCTCCTTTTGAAAATCCTAGCTGTATATATTCAGTCCTGCTGAATGCTTTCTACTCTCTGCCTTTCATTCATTGTGTTTCGTGTGCCCAGTACGAAGAGAAGTGTTTCACCCTCTAATCATGAAGTGTTTCAGCTAGTGACATTTTAATGGTCTTTATTGTCTGCAAATGTTGATTCTGGTGCCTGATTTTCTGGTTTACTTTTCCTACTTGAGCTAAACATATGTTTTGTTGCCTGGCTGCTTCCTAAAAAGTAACATGCTCTACTGAACCAGCAGAAGCTGAAAATGATACAAAGCAAAATGGAAAAACGGAGCCTCTTTTGCCCCTAACACATTGGCTATTGCACTGGGCAAAAGAGAGGTGCAGCCCCCCATTGTAAAGGGCTTGCTGGTGTCAGTTATGTGGATGTCCATGACCCAAAATTCACATGAGTTTTCTGAGGCTTTCTTTTTATAAGATGTTCCTCAAATGTGATTTGTTATTCTTTGTCTGAAAATGAGGCGTTTGTGCTTTTCTTTTCATTACCAGTCTGTGTCCCTAAGCACCTGGCAGACTCAAACTCTTGTTATACACAAGAATGAATTGTTTGCTGGTCATCTCTTGTAGGTACTGTGATAGGGGTTAATGTTGTCTCAGACAGCTGCTGATGTGCAGATGCAGATAAATTGGTTGTGTTGTTGTGGAATTGGGTGTGTTAAAGTAACCAGCCCACTGGGTCTTTAAAAAAATGGTCATTCCCCACTTCTTGCACTGATGAAGTGTCCTGAAGGCTTTCCCTGGCAAGTAACTTTTGTTTTTGATTTCAGGGGCTCCAGGACCTAAAGGGAGTCAAGGAGCTCCTGGATTACCTGGACCTCCTGGACAGCCAGGCCCTCGTGGATCAATGGGACCTATGGGCCCATCTCCAGACATTTCACATATTAAGCAGGGCAGACGGGGCCCTGTGGTCAGTATTCTTGTCTCCTGCCATGCACAATTGCCCTTATCTCCACAACTTCTCACACCCTTGTGAATACTCTCTTTTCTCTTGCAGGGCCCACCTGGAGCCCCAGGGAGAGATGGTAGCAAGGTGAGGAGAGGTACAAATTTCCATTAGATGGGCACATGCACATGTGAAGTGCAGACTTGCTAGAGAGACTCTGCATTCTTGTAGTCACACCCTTTTACCACCTCATTTCCTTTGCTCAGATGAAAGCATCCTGTTGTCCCACTCCTTCATGTCATCCTTCTGCTGTTTTGTGTTTGCCATTCCTAAAGTTTTTCAAATAGTCCTGACAGGCTGTATGTCACACAGCATTCTTTTCTTTCTTTGAAGCTCTTTTGGCTTTTCCATGAAGAAATGTTGATGTGTTAGCCCTTTTCATTCATTGTGAATTCTTCCTGTTCATTGATCCAATTATTACTGTCCAGGAAAAATATCAGAAATGCCCCACTCTGCTCCCGCTAGAATCAGCAGCAATGTTCTTGCATTCTTCCTTCACTTCCTTTTCTTTTTCCAAACAAGCATCAGCTGATGATTCTTGATCTGGGGACAGTAAGGGAGGCTGCAGAAGCAAACAGTGATTTTTTAATTTTCTTTAATCACAATAAACTAACTGAGGTGGTATTGATTACAGGGGGAGAGAGGAGCACCAGGACCAAAGGGGATACCTGTAAGTATTCCACACATGAGGAATTTCCACAACAGAGTGATTTTGACTACTAACCACAGGTCAGACAAAAGTTAGAGTAAAAAAACTCCTGTGCTGAGAAAACAGATAATTTACATACATGGGAAATGTTTGAAACAAAATAATTACTTGTTTTCATCCAAACATTTTCACCTACAAACCTCTTCCCTTGCTGGGTGTGTGACTGAAGGCAGTAGGTGCACCTCTGCCTTACAGTGGTGCTGAGACACCCTTAGAAGGCAGAAAAATGCAGGGTGCTACTTAGCACCGTTCAACCTCTGCTTCCAATGGGAATTTGATCCCTGGAAGCTTTTAAAATCCTGCCCCTCATTTCTCTCCGATTTGGGAAACTATAGATTTTGAGTTCAGAAGAAGGAATGAGTATTGATGATCTGTTTCTAGGTAAACTTCTTTAAAATAAAACTCTAGGGTCCCCAGCACAGGAAGAACATGGACCTGTTGGAGCAAGTCCAGAGGAGGCCACCAAGTTGATTAGAGGGCTGGAGCACCTCTCCTATGAGGAAAGGCTGACAGATGTGGGATTGTTCAGCCTGGAAAAGAGAAGGCTTCAGGGTGAACCTAGTTGGCCTTTTAGTACCTGAAGGGAATCCACAAGGAAGATGGAGAGGCATTATTCACAAGGCATGTTGTGATAGGGCCAAGGAATGGCTTCAAACTGAAAGAAGGCAGGTTTAAATTGGATATTAGGAAATTAGGATATCCTTTACTGGGAGGGTGGTGAGACACTAGCACAGGTTGCCAAGAGAAGCTGTAGATGCCCCATCCCTGCAAGGCCAAGCAGGATGGGGCACTGAGCAACCTGGTGTAATGAAAAGTGTCCCTGCCCATGGCAGAAGTGCTGGGACTACATGGTCTTTAATGTCCCATCCAACCCAAACCACTCTATGATTCTATTCATTTACTTCCGGTATTTTCTCATCAATTCTGGTGGAGTTGATTTTTAAGAGTGTGCTTGGCAGGGTGTGCTCAGTATTAAACAGTTTCTTTTACTGTGTGAAGTCAGCTAAAAAGAAATAATGATTTTCTAAAATCAGATACTCTCTGTATTGTAATTACCAATTATTTAGTAAGTGATGGACAGCAGCGAGGTTACCATATTGAAAAGGCACTTGCCAAGTAATAGCAGTTTTAAAATAATTTGTTGATTAATCATTCTAAGAATGTAATTTCTGTTTGTTTAATAAGCAAGAACACAAGAAACCAAGATTAATCTCTTCTATTCCCATGAGGTTTCAAGATATTCTTATGAAGCAAATGAATTGTTAAGTGACAAAAGGGCTGAGCATCTTGTAAGTCTAGGCTCTGTCTGCAAAAACATTTGATTCTTTTGAAAATTGTTTCCTGATCAAAGTTGGTTAAAAAACAGATCATTACCTCTTGGCAATTGATACAAAGGAGAATTTTACTGAACAACCCCTGCATGAGTAGTTCTATCAGCCAGGTTGAAAACTGTTTTGGATTATTATTAATGGCAGTGCCTTGTGACTGCAGGGCCCACCTGGTTCATTTGATTTCCTATTGCTGATGATGGCAGACATCAGAAATGACATTGCTGAGCTGCAAGAGAGAGTCTTTGGACACAGGACTCATTCATCAACAGAAGAGTTTCCATTACCTCAGGAATTCACAAACTATCATGACACAGTAGATTTTGGATCTGGAGAAGACTACAAACCACGGGCAACATCCAGAAACACCAGGATACAGAAGGCAGACCATCCTTAGCTATTCCACTGAAAAACAAAGCTTCTTCAGAATTCTTCAATATAAAAAATGCACTGACAATGTAATATATATATATATATATATATATATATATATATAAAATTTCCCATCTTTCTTTCTGCTTTTCCTGAACCATGCTGCCTGTACTGTAGCTTTCCTGGTTCATGGTAGCCTCCTTGCAGAAATTCCATACTGCCAAGCCTGCACTGTGCATTGTACCTAGACTATCAAAAAATCCTTCTTAGCATATTATATGATTAAGGCATGCTCTAGCTAATAACACAGATCACAGCATTCCATCTGCCAGCTTTGCATTCTATATCCAAATGACCTAGTACACAAATTTTGCCAGGGACAGAGGATTAGCTGAACATCATCCCTGAATGGTGTTGATAATGAACACCTTGGTCCACTGTTACTTTATGAATGCAAATAAATTATACCACTGAATTCAAATCTCCAGCTACTGCCCCCAGGCTTAGGAGAGTGTAAGAAGTGGATCCCTGTTTCACAGCTGAGGCCATCTGTAAGTGAGACATGTCCTCTATTATGCCTCATCAAGGCAGAAAAAAAAATATATGTTGAAGGGTTAAACAAAAGTGATGCTGCTTGATCAGGAAATTATTTGGTTTTGTGTTGCTAGAGTATTGTTCAAAGACAGTCAAAAGATGTGTGTGTCCTAAACTACTTTAGGACACACACAAACACTACTTTTTCTTTACCATTATCCCACTGCTCAGTATGAAGGCCAGTTTGCTTTCTCAAAAGATTCATGTTGGATACATTACACAAAGATGAGCAAGATAAAGGGGATGTTTAAAGCAGGAAACCAAATCAAAATTTAATCAAGCAGGCTTATTGGCAAGAACAAAATATATCCCAGCCTTGCAGAAAGAGCCCAGTTCTCACTTCCTGCAGGTGCATGTCTTCCTTGGTGAAATTCTGAAGTCTGAGTGAAATCAAGACAAGAAAGAGACCTCATGTTTGCAAAGAGCTTCCACCTGTTTTGTTCCTCTGCTGCATGAGACCAACCTAAATGGCTTTCACCCAACTGGAGCACAGAGTGGCAGCGTGTTTGGCTGGGTGTGTGAGGAGTGTGAGAAGGTGCAGGAGTGCACATGACAAAACATTTCAACTGGTACAAGGATGGCTAAGGTGAGGTACTGCACATGGGATCCTATACTTGTGAATGGGGATAAAAGGGAGTGCCCTTTATTTACACTGGAAAATTGGATGCACAAGTTATACCATACCTCATGGATGATGTATGTTGCCATTTCTTTCGGATTACCACAGCTGCTGAGGACTTTGCCATGCTTAGAATACAAAGGAGTATATTAAGCACAAAATTTCAATGTTGTGTCTGCGTAGCTGCTACTTCTACAGTATGTTTAGTGTTCAGTAGTGTTCATGCCACAAATGCAAAGAAAAAGTTGTTTTTTTGCCATGTTTTTCAGGGCTTGCATGTTGTAGTAGAATAAATACAGGTGAAAACATAAGAAGGGCTTTTCAGATAATACGTGAAGGTTTGGATTCCCTTCCATATTCTCTGGGCCAAAAGATGGATGGTGGAATCCTGACAGCATCAGTACAGGTCATGCTGCATTAACAGCTGGCTGTCTACACTTTTCCATAACTTCTGTGTCTTAAAAGAGTATGTTCATTCCTTTAGCCATTTCCCAATATCTCACTACCACTAAGCCAAAAGCCAGGGCATTAGCTTTTAAGAACATGAATGTTCTGTATTTCTTTTCACATTACATCTGTATCATTATTTACAAAGCAATGCCTAAGTCATGGGGATAGCTGGAAAAAAAAATTATAGTAACCTTACCTTGTGGTCCTTGGGCTTCTCTGAGTGGGAGGAGCTCTGCCAGGAGCTACAGATTCAAGTAATCTTGTGAATCACATAATAAGGGAGAATTGAAGAAGGTACCTGTATTCAAAAGAGGGATGGTCTTATATGCAACAGGCTGGAAAAAACCTCGAAGATAGAATGAACTGAGGCATTTGTGTCTTCTTAATTGCAAACAGGCAACTAAGTATAAATTACATCATTTATGAAGATGCAATTTTAATTCAATTTGTTAAACATCAACTGTTGTATTTTTAAATCTAGCAAATTACGGAACCCTTGCGTATGTTTACCACTGCACCCTGCTGGATCAGGCTGGTTCCCACTAGAGAATTAGCAGCTGCAGGTTTTTGACCATCAGATACTGAATGATCTAAGTTATGTTAGATGAGTCACTTCCTACGTATAAACTAAATTATATTGCCCACTGCCCACAAGGTGATGTTCTAAAAAAGGCACTTATTTTAGTTCTAAGTTCTGCTTTTCCAAATAGAGGCACATACCAAATGAGAAGTTCCCAAAGTTTGACCATCAAATTCAGGGAGAGGTGACAATTGCCCTGCTTGTGCCTGGGGAAGAGCTATTCTGAGACTGGACCAGAAAAGCAGATAAAATACATATTTCACTGTAAGTACAGCAAGTTGTGCTACAGATTCATAAATATAAGCATAGCACATGTTTACATGCCTTTCTGAATGGAAACCTCAATTATTTCCCTTTCTGGAGCTGGCATCATTGGCTTTCAATTTTAAGTACTTAAAAAAAAAAAGGTAACAGAATGTGTTCCTTGGGTTTGCCCTTGTCCTTACCCTTCTCTGTCCAAATATCCTGCTTCAAAACTGTTTGAGTCCCAGCAGCAAGGAAGGGCCACTATGGCAAAGACCACCCAACATGACATAGGAATTTCTGCAGCAGGGAGAGTCCCTCTGAGCACAGCCAGCTGGGAAGGGTCAGCCTTTGGTCTTCATCCAGCTGAGATCTTTGCATGGAACTTTCTCATTTCTGATTACCTGTATGACAACTCGTATCAACAATATTTCAGTCAGATTTCAGGGTAAACACATAAAGACTCAGAAAAGTGTAATTTTCTTCAGGATACCCAAAGTTTCATAAAGTCAGAGCAGAGGAATCATTTCCAATCTTACTGGTAGCCAGAGAAGTCATTACCTTGCAAATTATTTATTACTCTGTGGCTCCAAAAATAAGAAACTCTTCCAAGAACCCAAAACAAGAAAGTAGAAACTTCTACACTCATGGCTAGTCTCATTACCAGGCTCATGCACATGACAACTTTGTTTCATATAAATGGTATGTATAATTTTATTAGAAAGAAATATTATTTTGATGTTAAGACATCAAATTATAAGCAGAAGGATAATAAAGAATTTGTTATTTTATTAATATTAGAAATATATTTAATGAGAACATTTGCAAGAGTGTGTAGTGATGAGAAAATTCTGTTTGTTAATGAGTTTGACAAAATCATGAATCTTGAAAAATGTTTTCTTTCAACACTCTGCTGAGTACATAAAAGTTTAGTCTTTCTTGCAAAGCTGTAGTTCTGGCACACAAGAATTCCTATATAGTCAGGCTAAATTAGGAAAATGAGAGGAAAATTGATTGTAAATGGAATTAGGGTAATGCCTGGTGTTACTGTTAGCATCACAGCTTGCATAGCCTTCTGCCTAGAAGTGTTTCAGAGTTAATGTACCAAGTCCCAGAGCGGCAACAAAAGGTGGGGGTAGGGTCAAATTCTCTGTTAATGTCACATTTTAAAAAATCCATATGTTTGTTCCTTTTACACATTCCAATAACTATACTGTTCACTTTATTTATATATGAAATACTAAAATGTGTATAAGATGACTGTGATTTTATGATGTATTCATAATAACAAAGATATTTTTTCTTACACTGTTGGTAGTTGCTTTTTTATTACACATTGCCCTTTCTCTGGAACAAGAGTGATGTTGGCAGGAAGGAAGAGATGCCAAGAAATCTCCTTACGCTGCCTCCTAGCATTTTTCTTGCAGCTGAACAATACTGTCATAGTTCTTTGACTCTGGGGCGCGAGCTTTTGCAAGCTGGGGTGGGTTTCAGTCTGTGTGGGGATAAAGCACACAGCCACCTCTGCTCTGTGGATGGGTGGTGGCTCCTGTGCCACATCAGCGGGCTACATGAGGCTGGGTCCCGCAGCCCCACCGCACGCTGCCGGGTGTGCGCAGCTTGTGCACATCCCGGGGATGCGATACGGGGCTCCGGAGCTCTCTGGCATCCCACCACCGGCAAACGGGGAATAACACATAGGCTCCACCAGGCCTTGGCTGCCCCTCGCACGCCCCTCCCCGCAGCCCCAGGAGCATCCTGCGGGCTGTGTCCGAGAGCTGAGGGCCAGCGAGGAGCCCATCCTGCCCCTTCCTCCCTGCAGAGCCCACGCCGCCTGCCCAATGCCTCAAGGGCAGCCGCAGGGCTGGCAGCGCGTCATCCCTGGCAGGATCCCACTCCACCACCGGGATCCAGGATCGCCGGTATGCGGGGAAACGCGTAAACAACGTAAAATTAAAGGAATCTATAAATCACAGTGAAACATGCTGGCATAGTATAGTAACAAATGTCTTCGGTTTGAGAAAGTAGACAGTGGAAGCAAAATGTTAAAGACAAAAATCTGTGGTTAGCAGATCTGGGAATGCAAAGGTAGACAAAGGAGTTCCCGGTTGTGCTGGGGATCCTGCTAGTAGTATTGTTCTGTGACTGTGTGAAGGTAACAGAACAGAACTGTCAAGAATTCGTGGAAAGCAGAATCTCAGTTACTTGATCTGTGCGTGTGGGGAAAGCCAGATGGTAGTTGTATGACGTGATGATGCAGTCCTTTTAACCAGTTACACAGCGGTGTATTAGGGTCAGACATTTACAAACCTGCCTGTTTAATTAACTTATACCCGATAGTTCTAAAAAGAATTAACAGGAATTACAGGACCTCCGGGACACCGGCTCCTTTGCGCCCGCACGCATCTCCCCGCTCCGCCGGGACTGTCCCTTGTCCCTGTCCCTGTCAGCGGCTGAGGCCGAGCTCTGCAGAAGAGCAGTGCTGGCAGGGCGAGGAAGGTGTCCCTCTACTCAGCATGGAGCGCTGTGTCCAGTTGTGGGCTCCTGAGCGCAAGAGAGACGTGGAGCTCCTGGAGCGGGTGCACGGGAGAGCGGCAAAAGTAATTCAGGGGCTGGAATATCTCTTATGAGAAAAGGCTGCGCGGGCATGTTCAGCCTCCAGAGGAGACGACTGAGGGGACCCCAGCAGTGTCTGTCAGTGTCTGTCAGTGTCTGCAGGGAGGGGTCAGACCACGGACCAGGCTCTGCTCAGCGCTGCGGAGCAGTAGGACACGAGACAGCGAGCAGAAATTGGTGCACAGGAAGTTCCCCTTGGGCAGGAGGAAGAACTTGTTTGCCAATTCGGGTGACCGAGTACGGGAACAGATTTCCCGGAGAGGCTGCGGGGTGTCCCTCACCAGAGATACTCAGGAACTGCATGAACGCATTCCTGTGCCGTATGCTCCAGGCCCCTGTTCGAGGAGGGAGGCTGGCCCTGGTGTCCCGCCGTGCTGCCTTTCCACCCTGACGCGCCCCGGGGCTGCGGGGTTGTGTGGCTGCGACTACAGTTCCCGGCGTGCTGCGCGGCGCGCGGGGGCTGCCGGGAGCCGCCGGCGGCCGCTGGATCGGCGGGATGCGGCTGTCGGTGGCGGCCGCCATCTCGCATGGCCGCGTCTACCGGCGGCTCGGGCTCGGCCCGCAGTCGCGCCTGGACCTGCTGCGGAACCTGGTGACAGCGCTGGTGCGCCATGAGCGCATCGAGACGCCCTGGGCGCGGGCCGACGAGATGCGCGGCTACGCCGAGCGGGTGAGCGGCGGCACCGGGTTGGGCCGGGCCGGGGGGCGGCGGGCGGTCGAGGCACCCTGACCCACCGCCTCCTTCCTCACCCGCCGCCTCCTTCCTCCCCGCAGCTCATCGACTACGCCAAGCGGGGGGACAAGGACGAGCGCGCCATGCGCATGGCGGATTTCTGGCTGACCGTAAGTACTCCCCAGCCCCACATGCGCCCCGGGCCGCCGCGGTGCCGGGGCTGAGCGTGCCTCTCCGCAGGAGAAGGACCTCATCCACAAGCTGTTCAAGGTGCTGGCGCCCCGCTTCCAGCCGCACCCCGGCAGCTACACGCGCCTGCTGCAGATCCCCAACCGGGACGGGCTGGACCGCGCTAAGATGGCGGTGATCGAGCTGAAGGGGAACCCGCTGCCGCCGCTTGTCCGCCCGCGCCGCGCCTCCGACAAGACGCTGCTGAACCAGCTGCTCAAGGGCTACCGGCAGGACGCGCAGCGGGCGGCCGCCTCCCGGGGCACCCCCGTCTAGGGCCTCCCCCTGCCCTGAGCCGGCTCCGGGGGAGCTGCCCACACACCAGTCCCGGCCGCTGCCCAGGGGTTCGGGGAGGGAAGGTGTGGCAGGAGGGCTGGAGGGTGATGGAAGTCGCCACGGCGAGGGCTGAGTTTACTTCCAGTAACTAGAGACTCAGCAGGTAAATGAAATCAGGCTAGGAGCCCTGATGATTGATATTTTCTGTGTAAATAAACTTTGTTCAGACAAAGTCGGTTTGTTTGTATTTGAATTGTATTCAGAAAATCATTTAGGTCAGAAAAGACCTCTGAAGTAATCAAATCCAACCTGTGACCAAACACCATTGCATCAACCAGACAATGGCACTAAGTGCCACATCCAGTCTTTAATACCTCCAGGGACTGTGACTCCACCACCTCCTGGGCAGCTAATTCATGTCTATTCACCTTTTCTATGAAGAAACTCTTGCTAATGGCCTACATAAACTTCCCCTGACTCAGCATAATTCCTGTGCTTATTAGTTAGTAGTTCCAGAAAAATGGGTTTGCTAACAGTGTGTTCTAGGAGCCAGTGTTCAGCATTTCAGGGCGGGAAATTTGGTGAGAAATAAGATAATTCTAATGTTTAAAAAGGACTGAATGCAATAGGATGGTAACACTAAGTCCTATAAAGAGACAACCAAAGAAGCTTGTCTTACTATAGGGTAGTAACACAGGTGCAAGTCAGAGGCACCTTCAGAGGCAGGATTGCAAGACATCTCTGTATTACTCTGTTAAAAGGGGGAATAGCAGAACTTTTTCAGAGTGATACAACTACTGAGCAATAAGAATCCTAAATTGTTAGTCTTTAATTTGGGGCATAGCTAGTACTTGAAAGTCCTAGCTGTAACTTTGTAAAAACTCCAAAACCAACCCAAATGCAAAATCCCAGGATAGGATACCCAGTTGGAAAGGACTTGGCCCAACCCTTCTTGGCAAAACACAGTGGAACCAGTGTGGCTTCCTAAACCTTGTTGCATTTCGTCCTCCTAAGTTTCACAAACGAGATTTAAATAAGTGGCCCTGTGTAGCAAGCTAATTGTATGGAAAGACAGAGAAGCCCCATTATGTATTCTCTATTCAAGACACTTGCCTCACACAGTACCAGTTCTATTTTAATAAATGCCAGTGAGAAATTAAAGATGGGTGGTACTGCTCAAGGAAGAAGAAAAAACCAGTCAAACTGCTATATAACGTCAGTGTTCAGACCAACTTTATGTTTCTAAGAACCTTGAAATGGTTCTCTTTGGAGTTTACCATATTCAAATTGGTTTTCTGAACCAAACTGCTGCACAACTTCCACATTACTAAATGTCCATGCTAAAGCTTTAATAAAATACAAAAATACCTTTAACAAAGCATTTAATGAGAGAAAACAAGTCATACTCTCATTTGTTTGACCTTAAGTTAATAATCTGAGCTTACTCAAGTACAAAAAATCTAGAAGCTTCTAAGCTAAATCGGGGAAAATCCTTGATACAGGTTTTTTTTTTTTTTACATACAAATGCATTTTTGGCAGTATCTGTATGAACATTAGTGCAGCTAACAAAGCATTCATCGTCACAAACACATTGTGTAGTTCTTTTCAATTCAGTGCTACTATATGTCCCTGAACATTTTATAAAATAGTGGAAGCTTCTGTCTTAAGGGTGGTTGTCCTGCCAGTCTGTCTTGTACTCGGGAGAGTCAGGCTTTCAGCTGCCTGTAGAGGAAAACGGGAAATTCACAGTTAATATGGGAAATCTGTCCTATTATTCCCTTGTGTCCTGGCTGCCTCCATCGTCCTTAAAACCACACACAGCTCCAATCGTCACTTCTGTGTCCTATTGTCTCCCACCTCTGGAACATGGATGCCTACCTGACTGCAGTGGTGAGACTCCGGTACCAGTCATTGATCTCTTCTTGGTTGCTGGACATCAACAGTAGTGTCTTGTGCGGAAAGGAAAGCTGAAAGACAAACAGAATCTGTGGCATTCCTTGCCAAGGCAGCAATTGCAGTAAAAGGAAAATCATCACCACTGAATTCAGTCCCTGCATGCTGATTTTCACCCTTTTCCTTTCCAGATAGAAGAAATTTAGCGTTAGTATGGAGTAAAGCCCGAGGCTGTACAGTACAGAATAAGTGCCAGTCTTGTCTGTTGCTTCCAGTCATAGTTGACAGTTCATTCTGACCCGTTTGGAGGTGAGCAATTAGAATTCTCAGCAGCTCATCAGCCAGTTTTCTACCGTATTTCAAGCTGTCCCTAGGGGTCCTTCCACTACCATCATCTACAGGTCACAGCTTGCTTGAAGAGTTCTTTGGCACAGCTCACCGTTAAAGAGCTAACACAGCCCCAGGTGCAATCTTGGAAGAACTAACCTTGAATCCCCTACAGAACTTTCCTCCCTCTGAAGTTATCTGCAGCCCTCAGGGAGTTAGAGGCACAGCATCTGTTGTAATAACATCTACATCTTTTTCATTCTCTGTTTTCCTACGTGCTCAGTCTGTAGTCAATGTAATGCTATGTACTCTTTGTCACGTGAGTGTGGGACTGCTCCCTAACCTGTGGCTCTGCCAAGGGCATATCAGAGTCCTAGCGGAGCCTCCTCACCTGAGCTAAGTGAAGTAACCAGCAGCCTGTAACTGCAGTGTGTGCAGGAGACTCCATGCCATGAAAGGAAAAGTACCTGCATCACTCTAGAAGGGTTGTCCTAACTCAGACTTGCTCACTTAATTTTGTCACCACTGTCATCACCTCAGTCCCACAGCTGCTGTGACAGCTGTCAGACCTGCTTCCAGGTCTGTCTCCACTGGCACTTCTGATTGCCACAGGTGGGAAGACTTACACTGAGGAGCCCTCCCTGGCTCCATGTGTGGCCAAACACTTTATCCACGGAGCACTGCTGGAGCGGGTAGACAGCCTGGCAGGACAGTTTGTTGGAGTTCAGTGGGTGCAGTGGGTGGCAGGGCTTCGCTGCAATGAGGATATCAGAGAATAGGAAGAACATCCTGCGCTTCAGTTCTTCTCCCTTTGAAGGCACCACCAAAAGCCAGCCTTCCCGGATATACCAGCGCCCTGGGCATGCCGGGGAAACAGAGACAGCTGTGAGATCTGAGAAAAGGCAGGCAGGAATAAAGGATGTAGTGAGACAAACAGGAATACAGGGTGAGCCGCCTTTGCAGGTTGCCGTGTTCTACATAATTCCAGCCGCTAGAAGGCACTGGATGCCAGCTGTGTCCAGCCCACCAGCAAGGATAAACACCCGTGCAGAAGCAGTAACCAGCCCAAAACGTTTAATATGAGGAGCAGCTGAAGTTGTTACAAATTTGCTATGTTAATTAAGAGTATATTATCATATGCAAGTCTATTTAAAGTGATCAGAACAAAAACACGGTTTGAGAACGGTATGCATACCTTTAAATTAACATAAGCCTTCAGAAAACACAACATGAACTATCTTGTGTTGCCCAGTTGTTTGTCATTAGTGGTATAACAGAAGCTAAGCTTCCACTTTGAAAACTTATAATTTTTTCCTTGTTTTGTGTGTGCTAATTAAATAAATAAACTCAAAAAACCTCCCCCCCCCAAAAAAAAAACCAAATATATTTCACAGGTCATCTAACTATATACAGACCTACAGTAGCCAAGAGATTACAGATTGCAGATTACTGTTCTAAAGAGAAGGCATGAAAGGAGATAGAAAACAGGGAAGGTCTGAATAGGTAACTTTATCAACCCCTCTTGCAGAACAGAGTCCAGTGTCATCCACCTGTGAAATTAATTGTCATAAAAAAAGAGGAAAGCAGGAGGAAAACAATAAAAACAATTCAATAAGCCTAGATGTAAGCAGCAATTTTAAAAAAAATAATAATTAAATAAATTAAATAATTAAAGCAGGACTTTTTACTAGGATTATCATGGAAGATAGCCATCAAATCATGGGAATTATGAGGACATCTGCCAGTAAGATTATTTATAAAAATGTAAAACCATAACAAGGTATTGCCACCTGATCTTGTTTAGGAAACACCTGACAGGGAATTCAGCCATTCTTTCATGCCTTAACTTCAGCATGAGCTATTAAGTACTTTTTAGAGAAAAAATATAGTGTTGTTTTAATTTTGTCTTATTTCATTATCTCTTATTATGTGTCTTATTAGAATGCTAGTTACTAAACAAAAGAGCGAATGAATTCCTGCTTAGCTTATTCCACTGGAACCACTCCTCCGATCTGAATAAGAAACTGAGGAAAAGAAGGGTGAGGTGCAGGAATCAATCCAGGTTTAAAAAAAAAAACAAATGGGAGGAAGGTGTCAGAAGCATGGGGCTAGGCTGGGAGCTGTTTCCCTCAGGCTATGCTGTGATCACACTCACAGGCATACAATCTGACCCAGGCTGGACTGGAAGTCTTGGAATATAGATCCATACCCAGACTTCCCAGCGGTACAAGTTCTAGGAAATTGCTGTGAAAGAAGGGCAAGAAAATATCCCTGGGGAAGCTCTGGATTACAGAACGATGTGCTCAGTTAAGGAGGCAGTTCTGGCTGATAAAATGTTTGTCCTGAATATGGAAGGCAGCAAGAAAAGAAGGGTCTCCTCACTGGGAGCAGGACATCTCAGAGGCACTGGCAAATGTGAGATACCCATCTCCAATACTCCCCCTTTGTTCTGAATCTACAGCATTTTGTTTTCTCTCCTGTTCCCTTCTGGCATGAGGACACAATCTTAACTGTCCTGCGAAAGCTATCTTGTTTCCGGAAAGCTGGCCCAAAAAAATTAGGAAGCCCCAGCTGCCTCTTACATTTCTGCTTCTCATATTCCATGATAACTATGTAACTCCAGCCAATGGAAAACATGACTATAGGAATTCTCTGTCCTAGATAATGGAAATGCCTTTACAGACCCTCAGCACTCATCCTCCTACGTCTCAGAATTTTCAGAGACCAAAACAATCAGTGGACCAAACACTTTCAAACAATGGCCATCCCCAATCTAGTTATACTGTTTTGGGGTGTTTGTTTGCTTGTTTTTATGGTGTTACCTTATTAGTTCTAATGTTAGTTCTAACATTAATCAGGATAACTGATTTACCTTTTTACTTACACACTACCCCAAGTGTGCCCAGGCACCCTCACACATGCTTCTGCTCAGTGCAAACAGAGCATTCTTGTGTTAGCTCCCTTTCACCTAGCAACACTAAAAGGATTCTAAGACCAGGAAAGAGAATTATAAATTAATTTGCCCGTTGGCTGATTTGAGAAGAACCACTGATGAGTAATCTGTGTTCTACCTGTGCTGGTTTGGCTAGGATAAAGTTAATTTTTCCTGTAGTAGCTGGTATGTGATTGTTTTGGATTTGCACTGAAAACACCATGGACAACACAGGGATCTTTTGTTTATTGCTGTGTAAGCACTGCTCAGTAACAAGGTCTTTTCAGCTCCTCAAGCCACAAGTGAGGAGACTGGGAGTGCACATGAATGTGGGAAGGGTCACAGCTGGGACAGCTGATCCAAAATCCCCAAAGGGACATTCTATATCATATGACATCATGTTCAGCCTGTTATGCTGGGGAAAGAAGGAGGAAAAGGGGGAGTTTTAAAGTGATGGCTCTTATCTTGCCAGGTAACCACAATGTGTGGCAGAGCCCTTTCCTTGGAACAGCTGAACACTTGCCTGCCCGTGGCAAGTGGTGGATTAATTCCTTGCATGGCTTTGCTTGCATGAACAGCTTTTGCTTTACTTGTTAAACTGCCTTTATCTCAGCCCACAAGCTTTCTGAGTTTTAGCCTTCTGAGCCTTTTCCCATCCCAGCAGGGGAAGTTTTTTTCATCCAAAAATCCACATGTGTGAATTACAACCACATTCACAAGTACCTCTAGGTTCTTGTCTTAGAGACCTTCACACACAGTGACTTTAACAATCTTCTCCAGCTGCAGCACTGTTCCTGTATAACCTCTGCAACAGCAGAGCTGAGTGAGGCTACAGGTGAAGCCCAAATGACCATGTCATAATTGCCCTGACTGGGCACATTTCTCACAATATTTCATACATAGCTCAGAGTGTGGTCTGGGCATGGAGAGCATCCAGTCACATAAGAGACCTGTAATCCATTTAAATGTTCTTACATGCTTTATCTATCTCAGCTATCAACACAAATGCAGTGATTTCTGGCTCAGTTTAACTGTGCAGGTAAAAGAAAATTCTTCATATGAAGGGTGTGAGCAGAATGCTGTTAATCTTGTAGCTTAAAAACAACACAATTCTTGTGCCCTTGACATTCAGGAATCTATGGTTCCTGCAGTGGAGTAGGGATAATAACATGCTTACACTCTGCCAAAGAATTTACTGTCTCTTTCATTCCCACCCCAGACTTATACTCCTGATCTTCTTGGGTTCCTAACTTTCTAACCACATGTCATGAGGTTCTCCTATCTGAATGTCAGGCAACTAAGCTGTTGCTTATCCTTACTCAAAAATTCTTTTTTAAAAAAAAAGTTCTTGAATTAGTAGTCATATTCCTTTACCACCTATCTGTGGAATTTAGGAAGAAGGGGAAACTGGTTAATTTGAGTTGAGTCAGAAATGAAGGAGAACATATGTCCATGTGTCTCAGCATGGCAGATGAAAAACAGAGCTGTCAGTAAGACCCACCTGGAGTCAAAACCTGAGTCTTTCGTCCTTTAAGCAATTTTTGAACCCGAAGTAGCTGCAAGGAATTCTCTCTCTTATCAAAGACGTCTTGGACCCAGTGAGATACCTCACAAACAGATTTCACCGTCTCTGAAATTATAGCAGCATACTCTAAAGTTATCACAAATGAACATGTATTTCACCTCATACATCTTCCTAAGAAAATACAGTATGAAATTAAGAAGAAAAGTTTTAAATCAAGTATCAACAACAGCTTTATTCAGGAATTTCTGTGAGAGATTGAACTTGATCCCTTTCAGAGGCCTCTTTCCAACAGTTCTGCAGTTCTAGAAAACATTTGCCAATGAAACATCAGAGAGAAGAATAATTTCCTGAATTTGGAAGCAAAAACAGGAAAATGCCTTACAAGTGGTGTTAACTGCTTGTAAAAAACACAGAATAATTTAGATTGGAAAAGACGACTCAGATCACTGAGTTCAACCTAGGACTGAACACCACCTTGTCAATGAAAGATGATGGTCAAGTAGACCATGGCATTGAGTGTCATTTCTTGAACATTTTCAGGGATAGTAACTCTACCACTTCCCTGGCCAGTCCATTCCAGTGTTTAACAACCCTTTCCATGAAGAAATGCCTCCCAGTGTCCATCCTGAACTTCACCTGGCACAGCTGGAGGCCATTTCTTCTAGTCCTGTTGCTTGTTACCTGGGACAAGAGGCCAATCCCCAACTGGTCACAAACCTCCTTTCAAGTACTTCTAGAGAGTGATCAGGTCTCCCCTTTTCTCCAGACTAAACACCCCCAGCTCCCTCAGCCCCAACACACAGGACTTGTGCTCCAGACCTTTCCCCAGCTCCACTGCCCTTCTCTGGACTTGCTCTAGCAACCTCAGTGTCTCTCCTGCAGTGAAGGGCTCAAAACTGGGATTTGATGTGTGGTCTCACTAGTGCTGAGCACAGAGGAACAAGCTCTTCCCTGATCCTGCTGGCCCCATCATTGCTGATACATTCAGGATGTCCTTGGCCTTCTTGGCCACCTGGGCACACACTGGCTCATGCTCAGCCACTGTTGACCAGCACCCCCAGGGCCTTTCCCACTGGGCAGCTTTCCAGCCACTCTGTCCCAGCCTGGAGCTGCAGGGAGCTCTTGTGACCCAAGGGCAGGACCCAGCACTTGGCCTGCTTGAGCCTCACACAACTGGCCTCAGCCCATGGATCCAGCCTGTGCAGATCTCTCTGCAGAGCCTTCCTGCCTTCCAGAGCATCAGCACTCCCACCCAGCTTGGTGCCATCTGTGAACTGGCTGAGGCTGCTCTCGATTCCCTCATCCAGCTTATCAATAAAGATATTAAACAGGACTGACCCTGAGCCCTGGGGGACACCTCTAGTGACTGGATATGGCATGAAGGACACTAATTATCCTAGAAAATTAAAGCATCTGACCAAGAGAGTCAGAGAATAGTTTGGGTTGGAAGGGACCTTAAAGATCACCATTTTCTAACCTGCCTGCCATGGGCAGGGACACCTTCAAATATATCACATTGCCCAGGACCATAGCCTGGCCTTGAACTCTTCCAGGAATGGGGTATCAACAAACTCCATGAGCTACCATTCAAGTGCCTCACAAGCAGCAGAGTTTAAAAAAAAACAGAGCTGCCATTTCTCCAACCTATTAGTCCATTATATTATTATTATTATTATTATTATTATTATTATTATTATAGGCAGTTATTCTATATTTTTATTCATAACATGTTCTCAGGGACATCTTGATCAAGATGAAGAAGGAAAATAGTAATCCACTAGAACCCCAGAGAGAGAGGATTTTCCTTTGGAAGCAGGCAGTATGTGAGAGGCAAAATATTCTTAGTAAGGAGTGCATCAGTGATCAAAGTGTCAGCATTTACAGGTGGAATCATACTTGCAAGTTTCTGGTAGTCAGCAGTGTCTGGGCTGGTGTTCTCCAGCAGGTCTCTGAAGAAATGCTTGTACCTGAGGTGGAGAGAGCAGGTTTAATTCACCAGATAGCAGGAACAGCAGCAGCTCCTCCTGTTAGTAACAGCATGGTGAACAACACTCAGCCAAGAGACAGAGTAAACCTAACCAAGCAGTTTTGGTCACACTTCATTCACATTCATTTTATCATCAAGTGTCTCAACTAAAATAATCCAAGTATTTTGTACATCTGCAAACCTTTGGCTTTTCCTGGGGATCCAGTAGAAGCAGACTCACAAATCACTTAAGATCATGAGGCTCTCTCAGAATTCACATAAACATGCCTTCAATATGCAACAAATTTCTCTTTGAACTATCTATTTTTAATAGTATATGAATGGTGGCATTCATACCATGTTTCCTGCCCACAAAAGAAAATAAAGGCGTTTCTATAATAACTAGGACCCGCCTTTTTCTTTTTTTCCTTTCCAGTCTTTACTGGAGAGGATAAGATCTCTCCAAATGCTTTCTTCCAGTAAAGTCAAACAGAAGGAACTTGACAGATTCACAAACTGGCAGAATTCATATAATCTAGTGCATATTTTAACAGAGTTTTAGAGAAATTTGAATATGATAGAGGTGATTAATGAAAAAAATTAGACTATCAAAAAGACTATTTTTCCAAATAGGTGGATAGCAACAAATATACTGCTGTTTTGCAAATTTAAAAGTATCCAAAGAATTACAATAAAAACCCACCAATCAGCTTAATATTTGCTTCTGCCAAGCTGATTATAAACATTACAAAAAGTTACATGAAAGACTGTGGTATGATCTCTCCAAGTTATTTTCAGTGAAATGAGGTGCTCAGTCTCTCAAATTTGCTGTAAATTGAAGAACGGCTACTGTTAGCAGCAGAATTTGGGTTCCCAGAAAACCACCTTTATTACCCATACCTTCCCCAAGAAAGGGCTGCCCTTGAGTGCATCAAAGCACTCAGTTTGCATCTTCAAAGCGGAGATGATCATAGAATATCCTGAGCTAGAAGGCATCCACAAGGATCATTAAATCCAATTCATGCCTCTGCATTTTTAGGACAACCCTAAAAATCACACATGTTCTAATGATGTTGCCGAAACATTTCTTGAAAACTGGAAGGCATGGTGCCTTCAAGAGGGATATGCAGTGATTCTGAGTGGATCTGTCCAGGCTCAGACAAATTTGATAGGCATCAAATCTGAGGAAAGCATACAGCCCTGATAACCAGAGAGGAAAGAGAAGCTCTCCTGTGTTTATTAATCTAATTTCTCTCCAAAAACACCCATCTACAGGAGTCACAATGCTCCAGAACTGTATCTGCACAAAAATGGAGCAAAAGCATCACTGGCAGAGACCATAATTTCTGCAGCATTTCAGCCAGCTTCAGGGCCAAACTTCAGTAGCTTACTGAGATAGCAGAAAGCCTCCAATTCTACCCAAGAGCTAGAGGAAGGAGCCAGTTCTAAACACAAATACCTTCCTGCATAATCTCCCATCCGTGTACACTGATTCCACTTTACAGGCACATCCTCACACTGTCTCACTGCTGTCTCTATGCTCTGATTTTGGGACACAATAGGCAACTTTCATAGCAACAAAGACAGTGTTACATTCCCTTTTCCCTTCTTATGCTAATCCCTTGAAGACTCACAATTGTTTACTTACTGGTGCAGCCTCTGCAGGGGCAAACAAAGCAGATCCTCTAGCTCCCTCCCTTGAAACTGAGGCCGAGTCTCCTGGAGTTTCTTAAACCGCCGGAATGACTTATTTTTCCTCACTTGCTCCTGTATGTAGCAAAAAAGGGATATACCCTTGAGACTGCAGAAAATATGTCTAAAGAAAATGCCCTAGTCTGCACCAGAGCTTCGAACACTTCACCTAAGAGTTTAGGACTTCTGTCCACTTCTTTTGTGGCTATAGACAAACCATTCCCTTTCTCCTGACCATCCATTCCAGTAGGTAATGGAAGTAATATCTCCCACCCCATACATTGAATTAAAGAAAAAGAGAAAGTTGGCCTAGTTAGGAACACAAGGAGTGCACTTGTGGCTTTTTTGCCACGCCTTTCAAGAAAAAGCAGTGCAGATCTGCCCTCCCATCACCTTAAGACAAGTATCCATAATGGCTTTTTCTCTTGGAAAATCGAAAGCATAAATACATGCATGCAAAGACAAGAGGAGGGAAACACCCCAGCACATTCTACATCTGGGAACAAGCACAGACAAAACTGGGAGTTGAGTGGTTTAAATTCCAGATACAGCCGTCAGGACCTCAGAATAAATATATATTCTGCTGAAATTTCTTGAAAACAGGTTGTATTTGAAGTTATAAGTGGGAAGGAAAAAATAGTCTTCAACACAGGAAAAAAAATATGAAGGAAAAGGAAATCCCACTGCTAGGATACCGTTGGTGGTAGTGGGAAAGACCAGAAGACATGAAAATTCCTAGAAAGAGATCACTGTATCATAGCGAAAGCCTGGAAACTCTCTAGACTTGCCATTTAGGAAGGAGTGGGAGTAAATACAGAAGTCTGAGAAAGCAGTGCTCACCATATGTATATACATACACAGACACCTGAAAAAAGCATCAGAAATTTGAAGCTCTAAGTAAAGTAGAGAAGTTTTCACCATTTTATTGTGGAAAAAAGCCTGAATTTCATCAGCCCAGAAAAAGTTAGAACACTTATCTCCAGAAACAGAAGACAAATGATGTGGCAGTTTAACAGAATGGAAAAAGAGAAACCATATGAAGACTAAAGTAGATATTTACCTTCAAGGTTTTATTGGTCTGCTCCAAATTCTCAGCATAGTGGCCATAAAGATCCAGACTCTGACAAAAATTTTCCAGTCCTGCTCCCAAATTCCCTTTCTCCAGGTGAAGTGACAGAACACTGTGCACAAGGAGCAAAGATAGCTTGTGAGGGATACATTACTGATGGTGTTTTCACAGCTCCTTCTGATTAATTCCTTTGCTGATCTGCCTTTACCATTCTCCACCTCAAATCCAGTTTCTATGCCAAATTTGTGCTTGGAGGTCAGAGACTAAGCCACAGAACACATTGTGGAGGAGACTTATTGAACTTAAGCCACTGTCCAGTAACTGGGTACCCATATATGTGATATAGATCAGGAGTTTCCTGTGGACAGCTCCAAATGCCACCAAGGCTAGCAGTGCTAGGAGTGAATGCCTGTTTTACAAGGTGTTAGCCTTATTTCCCCTAATCTTTCTCATCAACATAGAGTCCTCCCAATATAATTACAGGAATTGCATCCTGTGTCCACTTACTGGCTTGCTGAATATAAGGACTCCAGGGGTCCAAATATAGTTTCCAACACAGCAGGTTTCAGTGTCCCTTTGGCCTTTAAAATTGTCACAAAGTACTAAGAATGAAAAAAAAAAATAAAATAAATCATACAGGTAGCATTCGCAGATCATCACAGAATCACTGAATGGTTTGGATTGCAAGGATCCTAAAGACCATCTAGTTCCAGCCTGGTCAGAGACACCTTCCAAGCCCTACCCAACCTGGCCAGTCACTTCCAGGGACAGGGCATCCACAATTTCTCTGGGCCATCTGTTCCAGTGCCTCACAACCCTTACAGAAAATTAATTCTTTCTAACATCTAATCTAAACCTACTGTCTTTCAGATTAAAATTATTCCTCCTTGTCCTATCACTATGTGCCTGTGTAAAAAGTCACTCTCTCTCTTCTTTATAAGCCCCCTTTAAGTACTGGAAAGCTGCAAAGGTTATTAACTCCTGAGGCCATTCAAAGGCAACTTGTGGCACACAGCAGAAGCCAGAAGCTGCAGCCTGAACACTCTTTGGCTTGGAAAGATATCAAATTATTGTGACTGTCTACCTAAGATATCCACCATCAGACGTAAGCCTTACTTGTAGCTTTGACAATAGCTCTAAACACGTGGAACAGAACTACAGCACCCAGTATCCTCCAATGCATCTGTTTTACAATATCTTGTCCGTAATGTTTTTTCTTGTCTGTGTCCCTGCATCTCAGGCATCTTAGGGCAAGCCCACTATTCAATCAAAACTGAAAAGATTTATGTCTGTGTATAGAATAAGGCAAAAAAGCCAAACCAATAAGCTACTGAATATTACAGAGGAGGTAAAAGAGAAAAAGAAAAAAACCCTTTCAGCCACAGCGAGTGTCCCATGCATTAGGGATGTACCACAGTCTTGCTCTTGACCCTTCCCCATGACAACACGAATAAGTATGTGCTGTCTGCAGACACCCACATATCAGAAGGGGCAGAAATACTCACTGTGAGCACCAAATCCAGCTGCTCGAGGTATTTGTATTCAGTTTCCAGCAGCTCTTTGGCTGTCCTGCCGCGCTTTCTCTCCCAGCGAGCCCGCTGGTCTTCCACAGTGTTTGCTCCAACCACAAATGGCAGGGATGAGGTACTCATGGCAGAGCCAGGGCTGATTTACAGGGAGGCAAAGGATCCTGAAGAGCCAAGCAAGATGGACACAACAAAAGAACAATCTATGTTGCAGAGTAGGATTCTGAGATAAAAACTCTACACTTTCTTAGGAAATAAGGGAAGTCAGTTGCTAGCAACCATTATTAGCAGTTTTCTTCTGCATTCCTTCCCATGGGCACAAGGGCCCTGCATCAAGCAGAGGAATACCATTAGAGACACCAGGCTGTGAAAGCAAGAGTGGTACATGACAATACAGCTGTAAGCAAATCTCAGTTCACAATTCCATGTGCAAACCACTGCTTCCTGTGCTTTGTCCTCCACATTCTTTGTGTGAAATTCTTGTTAAACTCAAGCAAGTTTGTGGGTGGAAAGGAGTAGGAAATAACCATAAGATTTGCCTTGTGAGGGGAGCATAGCAGGATTTCACCCCTACCACAGGGAAAGAGAAGAGAGAACTCTTGCTTGTTTTCCCTTGGAGAAGCAAGTGGTTTTCTCTGTCATTTTCAAACAGTATTTTGCGCTCCTGGAGGTGAAAGAGGGCAAGCAACTGCTGTGAATCATACCAGCTTTGCTCTTGTTCTGCTCTTTTGCTACAGTATCATGATTTTGTTGCACAGAAAAACATTGTTTATCACACTCGGAGAAAGAGGCATGTTTTAGCATAACACCAGTTAGATACTTTTCTTTTGATGAAAAGGCAGGGCAGGCAGTTGCTCTCTTGGCCCAGATCCAAGTCTGAAGTTTCGCTGGAAGCTGAGTTGCCTCTGAAAAGTTCTGTTTCCCACGTGGATAAGATAAACTAATTCAGAAAGATGTGCCATTATAGAGAAGGAGATTTATCAAACACCATCTTCCAGAGACATTTCAGGTACATAACTCAACAAAACTCAACAAAAGTTTCGCATCAAATTAGTACCAGCACTCATTTAATGAATTGCCAAAAGTCCAGAGAGCTGAGGGACATGTGCAGTGTTTTACAGTAGCAGCTGCTTCTCCAGAGATTTACCCTCATATTCACTTACAGCACCACAAGCCTAGCTGAGACCACATCTTGGTGAAACAGGGCAGACCTGGCGTGGATGGAGAGGCAGCACCGCAGGGAACACCAAGCTTAGCATTAACCAGGGAATTTAAGCTTAGCATTAGTCTTTCCCCAGAAGTGTTCAAGGCCAGGCTAGATGGGGCCCTGAACCTCCCTGTCTGTAGAAGGTGTCCTTGGGCTTTGCAGGGCTGCTGGAAGGAAATGGTCTTTAAGGTCCCTTCCAACACAAACCACTCCATGATTCAAGTGCAGTTGCAAAGTACTCACCAGGAAAGGACTAAAACACTGCCATTCGCACAGCGCCTCTAGCCCGCGTAGACTGCAGTCAAGATTTTCATCCTGTAGACCAATTTCTTTTAACACACAATAATTAAAACAAAGAAGTTATACCAGGTTTGACCATCTACTGCTCACATAAAGAAGTTCAAACACTCCCATTATTATTGCACAATATAACCTGTGTCAGGTCTGCAGCCTGTGGGTACACTAGAAAACACTACACCTACAGAACTGCTCCAGCTTGCTTCTCCCCAGCTCACATCCAGAAACCACTGAACACCCTCTGTTACTGTTAACTACCTTATAATGCGCCGTTAGCAGCATCCCCTTCACCATTTCTAAATTTCTGGAGTACCATCAAAATAACATCCTGTTCTTATTGCAGCACAGCCTCTCTTGATGTCTCAGGAGTGTAAACACATGGTGGGTCAGCTCCAAGGGCTGTACACACTGTAAGCTAAGAGAAAGGGGAAGGGAAAGGGAGAACTCTGGAGCCCACAGCCAGTCCTCAGCCACCCTGAGGAGTAAATATTGCAGGAGTTAATACTGGAAGTAAAACACGCACCTAGCCTTCCTTCAATTCACCTGTGCTGCAGGGTATTAAAAGTGTATTTTGGACCAGTCAAAACCAAATATTATGTCTTTTCAGCAGATGAGAAAAGATCCATTAAGAGTCTTGAGGAATTGAATGGAATGCTTTTCTTGACCAAAACCGAAGCATTTTACTCATTATTAGGGTTCCATTTTGGTTTTGTTTTTTTTTATTTGTTGTTTGCTTTTTTTTATTAAAGTGAAATATGTTTTAAAGAAATAAATGTTTCTAGTAAAAAAAAACAAACCTAAAAACCAAACCAAACAAAAAAACAAAAACATGAACATGCTGAACAACATCAACTAAACGTTAAACAATTTTTTTTTTCTCTGACTGCGACATGAATTCGGGAAATACTAGGTGGAATCAGGGACGAATTTAGCCAAAGGGATCTTTATGGGTCATGCACTTGAGCCTTGTGCCCAGAGCGGGACTACCACCAAAATCAGAGTGGCCTGCTCAGGGGTTCATCCTGCACAGGACCTTTCCACGGGTGGAAATAGGGACGGGACGGGACTGGACGGGACACGACCCCGGCCCCGATCCCGATCCCGGCCCCGATCCCGATCCCGGCCCCGATCCCGATCCCGATCCCGATCCCGACCCCGGCCCCGATCCCGATCCCGACCCCGGTCCCGATCCCGATCCCGATCCCGACCCCAGTCCCGATCCCGATCCCGATCACGACCCCGGCCCCGATCCCGATCCCGATCCCTATCCCGATCCCGATCCCGATCCCGGTCCCACGCCGCCCGTTACCAGTCGGTCCCGCCGCCGCCCCGCGTTCAAACGCGGCCCCACCCCGCTGGCGGTCCCGGGCGGTCCCGGGGCGGTTCCAGGGCGGTCCCGGGGCGGTCCTGGGGCGGAGCGCGGCGGGGCACGGCCGGGCCGGGCTGGGCCGGGCCGGGCGGCGGCGGTGGTGGTGGTGATGGTGTCGCTGAGGGAGCGTGGCCCCTCGCCCGGCGCGGCCGGGGACCTGGCGGCGCTGGCCGAGCTGGACGAGGCGGCGCTGCTGGCCGGGCTGCGGGAGCGCTTCCTGCAGCAGCACATCTACGTGAGTGCCGGGCTCGGGGCGGGGGGCGGCGGCGGGCGCTCGGCTGACCGGCTGTCCCGTCCCCACAGACCGACGTCGGGGACATCCTCATCGCCATGAACCCCTTCCAGCCGCTGCCGCTCTACGGGAGAGAGGTGAGCCCCGCGCCCTCCGCCGCGCCCCGTCACCCCCCGGCCGCTCACGCCTCTCCGCCGCCGCTTCCCCGCAGGTCTCCGAGCGGTACCGGCCCCTCCAGACCGACGCGCTGCCGCCCCACATCTTCGCCGTGGCCAGCCGCGCCTACCACGCCATGCTGGGCCGCGGGGGCGGCAGACCCCGCAACCAGTGCATCCTCATCAGGTGAGCCGCGACCGGGGGTCCCGGGGCCGGCGGGGGGCCGGGGGCCGCCCCCGAGCTCTCGCCGGGATCTCCCTGCCCAGGTTCAGGTTCTCTTCTCCGGTTCTGTTGGTGAGTCAAAATCCATCTGTGCTGGCAACACGTCCTTCATCCCGACCGCTTTCGAGACAGATTAAGCGGGCACGTCTTGAGAAGGTTTGGGGAGAAAAAACTGGCTTTTGTGGAGGAGCTTGGCCAGCAATCTTTATAACAGTAAAGATGCCAGGTTCACTTCTGGTGGGGAACCAGCCACTGGAATTCATTCCCAGGAAAAACCATTGGATGCTCTGATCTGGCAACACAGCTGCCATGGCAAAGCTGTAGTAAAAGTTGGAAGGATGATAATGTAAGGAATTAATTTTCACAAAGTGGAGCTTCCCAAATGTAACCAAAGAGCAGGAAGAACTAAAACATGTTTTTCTGCTCTAAGGCCTTCGGGAGACTGGTCGGGGAGGATTTTAAAGTCATGGGCAGTCCTGTGTACTAGAAGTCAGTGATTCTTTTAACCAAAGAGCCTACCAGTATCATGGAAATATCACCCCATCCAGTCATTCTTGTTCTGCTGGGACTCTGCAGTGCAGCAGGTAGCACTGCATCATTTAGCAGAGAAAGCCTCAAACAACATCAACTAGCAGAGAAAGCATTGAACACCGAGAAGAAAGCCTTGAAACATTATCTGCCTCTTCTCTACAACTGGCTATTGTAGAGAACAGTTTAAATGTCATCTAAGTTAAAATGCTACTTTCCAACTTGTTCGATTTAATTCTTCTTTTTATTTGCCTTCTGATAATTTTATCGGTACTTTCAGTCTACAAGGTGTGGAAGTCAATTTCTGAACCAGTGCTGAGTGTTTTGCTGGGACTGGGAGCTGACTTTGAGGGGCACTTGAGCCCCACTCATTTCTGTAGCCTTCAGGCCATTGGTGCCTGTGCTTTACATGAAGTGCTCTTAGGAAGTCGTGGCCATGGAGTCCTCAGGTGCAAGAGGTGCTGCTGGTAGGGCTCTGGGGGATAGAGAACAATCATTGTGTTTGTCTTGGGAGGTGGAAGACAAGAAAGAGTAACCCATGAGAATTTGCCAAGTGGTCAGTGGCTTGGTTGTTTTCTGCCAGCAGTTCAGAGATGAGTGTGATATACTCCTGTGCATCTTGCAACCTTTTACCTGGTCTCTGTGTTACTGTCACAGGAAGTTCGTGGTTTTCCTCTCTATGGGTGGTAAAACACTAATTAACAAGTTTTCCTACATGAGCAGAGTTGGGGTAAACAGGGAGGATGAGGTTGCTCGTGTTAGACCACAGTTCACCACAACAGCACAGGGACACACCAGGATCTGCCATCCCTTGCAGTCTCTTTAGTGTCTGGATAGCATTCTTCAGAGGTGATGTTGGATGCAACAGCTCCTGCCAGATCATAAGTTTTCCTTGCTACCAAATTTTCTTCAGCTACAAATTCTACTGGCTCCTCTTGCCTTCCCAGTTCCAAAGGACATTAGTCATAGCCTGCATGTGCTGCAGTACAGCACTTGGGTCATCTGAAGATGACTTTGCATTTCTTTAGAGCTGGGGGCAGTTTCACGCCTGCTGTGCTTGCAGGACCTTGTGAAGGTGTTGTGCTTGTTGGAGGATCTAAGGTCAAGTTTGAATCATGGAAGTGCTGTAGAATATGGGTTTTTTTGTGAAGGAGGGATGTTACTGAAAAAAATAAACCTGACATAATGAGCAGGGGCACTGGATGGCACGTTCTCATCTGGCAAAATGGACTTATTTTGTTTGTATGTATTTGGATGGTGCTGGTCTGATCTATGCTTGACATCAGGAACCTGATCTCAAGGTCCTGATCTTGCTGTAGTACTTGAGGTTTTTAGCCACCTATGACACATATTTGATACAAGCAGAGAGCTGCTGGGAGCTACAAAGCAGTAAAGCCACACCACATGCTCAAAGGTCAGCTCAAAGGAAATGGGGACCTGCCCTCAAGTATACCTCCAGCATTTCCTGCATTTATTTTTTCCCATGCATATGCTGAAGTTCTCAGCTGGTGTGGTGTTGTCAGTTAAGGACATGTTGTCTCACTGACTGTACATTCCCTCTCCCAGGACAGGGGAAACTGCACTTTCCAAGGGCTGGTTGTTTGACTTGGAGGCGGAGGCGCCGTGGATGTGTGACAGCAGAGTGACATGGATGTGTGACAGCATGGTGACGTGCACTGCTGGCACTGTGGGAGTGTGGGCAGCTCTGCACCCACATTCCCAGCTGTCTGGCACATGGATGTGTGAAACACCTGAGATCTGAGACTGCCACAGCATCTCATGATCAGTATCCAGCTGTGGATGTGATGTGGATAGGGAAGATCTCTCTGGAGAAAGAGGAAGTTTTTGGCTCCAGTGTATGCAAAGGTGTTGATGTACCAGATGACTTTTGAAGCAGAGCAAATGGTCTGTCTACTACATCCCATCCAGAAATGACAGCATGGGGTGTAGCTATACTCCCTTACAGAGGGGGAAAAGCTCCATGATGAAGGATCGGAACATCATGGGACACCCTGTGTAAAGCTGTGGTGTGTGAGTTTTTACTCACACATGTGAATTTGCTGAAAAACTTGTGAAACTCTCATAGAGCACTCTCAAGTGATTGAGCACTTGAGCCATAAGGGGCAGAACAGCTATACTTTAAGGGTGATGGAATTTATTTTGCTTTTCCTTGGCAGTGGAGAGAGTGGTGCTGGGAAAACAGAGAGTACGAAGTTGTTGTTGCAGCACACAATGTTCCTATGCAAAGGCAACTCGCAGCTGGAGCAGCAGATACTTCAGGTGGGTCATTGCAGGATGATGCTTGAAGGTGCAAAAGCAGCACTGCTGCAAGACAACTTGCATTAGGCTTAGGAAGCCTGCTGGTGCATCACCACTGGAAATCAAGGAGCCATACATAAGAAAAGAGTGGATAAGAATGGTGAGATAGGTGGCCACAAATTAAAAGGGTTAAGTCAGTAATTTTGTTTGCTGGAGATGATTCTTAAATTAGAGAAAACTATTGCAATCATTTATCATGTTCTCTGTTACAAGACATTGGTGACATTTTTCTAGATAATTTCCTGTTTGATGTAGAACAAGGACTTTCATTAGTGAAATGAGATCTTGATTTAATGGTACAGGTAGATGAAGATTTCACACACCCTTTAGGAACCTATCCTTGCCTACATTCACTGCCAGACACATACATGCTAGCTGGCTAGCTGCCATCCTTGCTCTTTTCATATATCTTTGCTAGCTCATTTTGAAACATTTCTGACTCTTTGGTCTGAAATATTCCCACTTCAATTTCTCACCAGGGAGCTGTAAAGTTTTTTAAACAAATCATTCTTTAAACCTTCTGTGTGATAGATTAAGAAGAGTGAGTTATTGGACTCCTTTACTTTAAAGTCTGTCATCTCAGATTTCCTTGGAAACGTAGAGGTCTTTCTCTGTGTGGTAGGTTAACTTCAACCAGTTCCCACCAAGCCACTCTATCACTCCCGCTCCTTAACCAGACAGGGGTAGAAAAACATAACAAAAACTCAAGGGTTGAGATAAGGACTGTGAGATCACTCAGCAACTACCATCACAGACAAAACAGGTTCAGCTTAGGGAAAATACATTTAATTTCTTGCCAGTTAATATCAGAATAGGGTATTGAGAAATGAAAACAGATCTTGAAACACCTTCCCCAACTTCTCCCTTCTCCCTAGGCTCAACCTGACTCCCAGTTTCTCTGCCTTCTTCCCTCCAGCAGCACAGGCAGCTAGGGGATGAGTGTTGAGGTCAGTTCATCACAGATTATCTGTGCTACTGTCTTCTTCCTCATGTTCTTCCCCTCCTCCAGCATGGGGTCTCTCCCACAGGAGACAGTCCTTCAGGAGCAGACTGTTCCAGCGTGGGTGCCCTGCTATGATGCAGTCCTTCAGGAGCAGGCTGCTCCAATGTCAGTATTGTCCAGTGGGTACTTGTATGTTGGTATTTCAGGGACAGACTGCTCCAGTCTGGGTTCCCTCCACAGGGTGCACTCCTTCAGGAGCAGGGTGCTCCAGCATGGGCCCCCCAGAGGGTCCCAAGTCCTATCAGCAAACCTGCTCCAGCCTGGGCTCCTCTCCACAGGCCACAGGTCCTGCCAGGAGGGCTTCTCATGTGGTCACAGCCTCCTTCAGGCATCCCCCTGCTCTGGTGTGGGCTCCTCCAGGGGCTGCAGGTGGATCTCTGCTCCCCACTGGATCTCCAGGGGCTGCAGAGGCACAGCTGCCTCCCCATGGGCTGCACCTCAGGCTGCAGGGGAATCTGTGCTCTGGCACCTGGAGCAGCTCCTGCCCCTCCTCCTTCACTGACCTTGTGTCTGCAGAGCTGTTTCTCTCACACATTCTCACTCCTCTCTCACTTCTGTGGTGTGTGCAGCAGTTTTTATCCCAGAGGCACTGCCACTGTCACTAGTGGGCTCAGCCTTGGCTGTGGCAGGTCTGTCATGAGCCAGCTGGCATTGGCTCAGAAAGTGTGTGGCATCTCACAGACAGCAGCTTTAGCTCCTCCTGCAGCCAATATATTGACACATAAACCCAGTGCCCCATGCTGTGCTTTGGGCTCTGATGTATTAAATCAGTGTTGTGTCGTCCATGGTGGATCCAGGGTGAATGCCTATGCTGGGTTGTGAGAACACGACATTGGTACACCTGCTGTCTCTGCTTAGAGCTGGCTTGGGCCACACTGCCAGGCTGCTTCTGACCTGAGCAGGTTCCACAGGCAGGAGAGCTGTGCTTGCTCAGCAGAGCGCCTAGAGCCAGCCTGCAGTTCCTTCACTGGAAATAACTCACTTCAGCCCAGATGAGCTGCCCTTGGAAAGCCTAGAGGTGACAGTGAAGAAATAATATGCATCTTATTTGGTTCCTGTAGATATATCCAAGGACTAAGTCCTTTGGGGGGTTATGATTTAAGGATCATACCTTAAAGCTGTGTTCAAAAGGCTGCCCAGCATCTACTCTGAGGCCTTGTTCTTCCAGTTGACAGACATTCTTTGCTCAAATAGAGAAAAATTGTCATTTTGCCACCTTTGCATCCAGCTTAGCAAGCTGGTCTAATTGTTCTGTTAATTTCTTTATAATGCACTGTCCTTATGTCTAAAAATTTCAGTAGCTAAGCTGTCATACTTAATTAACTGAGTGCCATGGTGACTTTGTTTTTGCTGTTGTATAGCGCTCAAATTACCTCGTGACAACAGATACTGTGTGGAAATAGGTTATACCAACTTCATCTTCTAACAAATGACTCAGTGATCTTACTGAGATCCAGTCAGTTCAGTTGTACTGATCATCATTAATTTCATGCTCCTCAGTCTTTGTGATATTTTCCTCTTGGAATTTTTTTTTATCCAGGCAGAGATAAAATAGGTGCTGATCTATATTCATGGAGTGGTTCCTTTTCCACCTGAGTAGCAAATGCTGAAGATAAATTTTTCCCAGTAAATTAGATTGGATCATTTAATCTAAAGATGGTTGTTCAGCTTTTTCACATGTTTTAGGTGAATCCGTTACTTGAAGCTTTTGGCAATGCCCAGACAGTGATGAATGACAACAGCAGCCGCTTTGGAAAATATATACAGCTGCGTTTCCAGAAAAATACTGGTAAAGTCAAGGGCAATTACTGGACTGGGGAGTGGTTCAGAACTGGAGGGAGTGGGCTGAGTAGCCAAAACTTGTGGAGGATAAAATTTTGGCACATGGCTCCCTGTGGGAAGGGTGTGCAATTACGTAAGATCTTACAGCACCCACTGTTGGATAGGACCTGGATAGGATTAGGCCAGGGTTTGGACAGAGTGGGAGTACAGCAAGGATGTTGGGGTGAGAGTGAAGGGTAAATGTCAGTAATACTCTGTGATGCCAGAAGCCTTTGTTTCTGCTAAAAGAGGTGAACAGAAGTCTCTAAGACTAGAGGAAGCATGGAGATAGGGATGCTAAATGCAAAAAGTAAGCAGGGAACAGAGCCTGTGTGAAACTAAGTCACACAGGCTTCTCAGTGTGGCCTGAGAAATCATAAGAATCTAAAAGAGTACAAACAGTCTTTGGTAAAGGACAACAACCTTAGCAGGTGTTGTTTAGGAAACAGTCAAGGGGTAGGTAGTGTTCCACTTAACCAATGATGGTGGATGTATTGCTTTAATGACCAGTGGGAGTTTTACCTCTCAGACCTTCTCAAACACGTGTATAAAAGCAGACTAAGAATAATAAACTTTGCTGTCTTGGAAGCTAAGGGAGTCAGTGTCGTGCTCATCGCTGTTCCTAATGTAGTGTGATATTCAGAAGCCCATTTCCAGTGTGCTGGGCAGCCTAGAGGGTCTTGCAGACAAGAAAGTTAATTTAGATAATTCACCGAAGAAGAGATGTGGGACAGCCCAGGCAGCTTCATGTCCTGCAGAGTGAAGTTCCCCTTTTTGTGTGCAGTGCAAGGTGCAAAGCTGAGTGAGTACCTGTTAGAGAAGTCACGAGTGGTGCAGCAAGATGCCGGGGAGAGGAATTTCCACATCTTCTACTACATGTTTGCTGGACTGTCTTCAGAGCAGAAGGAGATGTATGGGTTATTGGATCCTTCACTCTACAGGTGCGTCAAAGGAAGACCCAAATTCAGTCTTTGTGATGGGTGGTGAAGGGGAAAACAGCATAATGGAGTTTTTTGCTCTGCCCTGGGGTTTTATCTGTGGGTGAGTGGAAGCTGGAGTGGGATCTGATTAGAGCTACATGAAGAGATATTATGGATCATCATGGAAGCTGGGAGGTCTGGGGTCTTTGCTGCACTACCTTGGAGAAGTTTCTTTCCCCTTCATGTTTCCACTTCCAGTGATGGGCTTTGTTCCCATGGGGTAGGACTGAGTTACAGTGCCAATTGTGTGACAGTTTTTATGGGATGTGCACTTCCTCAGGTACATAAGTGGACAGTTTGGTACACAGGAAGTAGATGAACGCTGGAAGCAAAAATACCAAGAGGTTTGCAATGCCCTTGACATGGTGGGCTTCCAAGAACAGGTTAGTCCTGGGGCTGTTTCATTTCCATCTGTGCTTCCTGCAAGCACAGGGCTTCTTTCTAGCTGCTCTTTTGAAGCTCAGTCCTATTTATTTCTCTAGATTTTCCATGTTACTTTCAGACCACCTGAGTCTGACACACTTTGTGGGGAGCTTTTTCCCACAAGTTGCCTGTATCTCTTCCCTTAACCTCTCCAACTTCTGGGTCATTGTTGTGGTACATGCTACATGGTGGTGGGTTTTTCAGTCACCTTTCTTTTGTGTTTCAGGAGCAAGTGGACATGCAGGCCATCTTGGCTGGTGTGTTGTCTCTGGGCAATGTGACCTTTGAGCCTGAGGAGAGCAAAGGGTCTGTAAAAGTCAGTGAAGCCTCCCAGGGATGGCTCAAGGCTGCAGCGGTGAGTCACAAGAAGTGTTGACAGAAACCTTTTGGGTATGATGCTCTTCCCCACTGTCTGTGTGACTGCAGGAGCTGCCCCTGACAGAGGATTTTTCTGCCTCAGAATGTGAAGATTTCTAAAGAACAAAGTTTTTTTTTAGAAATGTACAGTTTGACCCCATGACAGCATTTGTGTTCAGTGTTATTCATATCCAAAGAGATGCATCTCTTGTGTGCCTAGAGCCAGTGTCTTACATATTCAGCATATACCTTGCTGACTTCAAAAAACACCAGCTTTTTAAAACTAAACGTTTTATGTTAGTGGGTGTGATAATGTCTTGGAGAAATTCAGGTGTGCAATATCTGCACACTAGTTCTGTGTTTTCATCAGTTTTTGTCCAAGGATACCACCCTAAGTGCTGTAATTTTTTTTTTTTTGTTATCTTGTATTAAGCTTTCTACAATTTTGCATGAAATTATCACAGATTAAGAAGTATATATTTCCCAGGACCATTCAATCTTTGTTATAGGGGATGGAGAAGTTGTCCTGCTTTGTTAACAACACAGGACTGAAAAAAAGTAACATATTTCTCCAGTTTCTGTTTTTTTCACTTTGACCTATTTGAAATCCCACCACTCTTGCTCTTCGGTTTCACTCCCATCTCTTTGCCTGTTTCCCTCCTACACCATACCTGAAACAACCACCTACAACTGTTCAGCAGCCAACTTCTTTTTATCTTATTTCTGAAAGCCTGCTCCTCGTTTCTTGCCTATAGGAGGGGAATTCCCGTTAAATCACTGAGGGGTTCAGTGTGTCTGAGTTCGCTTTGTTTCCTGCCTCTCGTGTGGATTCCTGTGACTCTGGAGCCGAGATGCTTCAGCACCTGCACAGTCACCTCCGTGTGGTGCTGTTCAATAAGTCATTAAACTGCTCAGCAGGGGCTGGCGTGGCTCCCAAAGAAGGTGAAAGGTGGCAGCACTGGGAAAGCAAAACAAAGTGTTTGAGAGCGAGTGTGTGAGGTTGGTCGCTGCGGGGGTAAAGCAGATCCGAGCCTGCATCTGACTCTGGTGCCAGCAGTAGCACTTGCCTTACAGTGGGGCTTAAAAGCCCGAGCCTGAATCATGACCCCGTTACACACAGACAGACAGACACAATCCCCACGAGCAGAGTAAGGGTTTACAACCGAGTGTCCTCGTCTATTTCCTGTTTCCCAGGGTCAGTTTGGAGTCCAGGAAGATGAGCTGTTAAAATGCCTGATTTGTACAACGTCCATGACCCGGGGCGAGCAGATCCAGCGTTTTCACACCCAGCAGCAGGCAGAAGGTAGGAAACACAATGAATTGCAGATGTGCTGGCTAAAAAGACTGAGTTTTGACGGAAGGGTATCCCCACACATGTGCAGCTTGTTGGGAACAAAGATGTCCTTCTGTGCGCCTTCATTCCTCTCACACAGAGGCAAGTATGTCAGTGTTTATCTGTTTAGTCTCTTACTGACATGTAGGGCCATGAATGCTGCTTTTGTTTGGTCTCTAGGAGACTGCAGAGATTAAATGAGAAACCAAGGAATTAGCTTTGGTTTCTGCCTCAGTCCAGCCCAGAAAGAAACTGTATTTGTGCAAATGAGGGGAAGGCTCTTACTGCAGAGTGCTGGCAGTGTGCAGAGCTCTAGTTAATAGATGGAGAAACAACCATGAGAACCATGAGATGTCACAGTGTCAGGAATGGAGTGAAAAGAGTAAAATAGCAAGCACAAAGTGTTGTTTTCCCTTTCAATGAAAGAATAAAATAATCTAAAATAATCTGTACCAAAAGGTTCATTTAAATTATCATATTTTAAAAGCTAATTAAAAAGATAGGTTATTGTTTCAAATAAATGAAAGAAAAAAAATTGAATGGGTTTAGCTAGTTCTGTTTTACAACTTTCTCTAGACAATAAAATATACATCTTTAATAATAAGTCATGTTAATTTGGTCCCCTTAGAATGTCAGCAAGCTTTCCATCAATTGTGTCCTTTTCTTGCCTACAGCATTTAAACACTTAGCAACTGTGGGCTAGAAGGGAAAGAACCATCCAATTTTCCAAGTAAAATTTGGAGCTTCTCCCTTGGTTTAGCAGTGAGGGGATCCATACTTAGTACATCTTAAGAGGGGAAAGCAAGTCTATGGATATTCTAAAAAGTGGTATGACTCAAAAATGCCCTGGTATTTTGGTAGATCTTGTAGAAAGGTTGTGAAGATTTTGAAATTGAAGAGCTGTTTTTACAGCTCCCACCTGCAAAGGGTGGAGACAGTCCAATGTTTATCTGATCTTTAAAGTAGCTTTATACAGACATTGTTGCTAGAGGTGGATGTACTGAGCCAGCCTGTGTGTCCTGTCCCCTGCTCTCTTGTGAAGCCTGTCAGTGAGCTGCTCTTGTTCCCTCTCTGCAGATGCTCGGGACTCCATTGCAAAGGTGGCCTATGGCCGAGTGTTTGGCTGGATTGTTTGCAAGATCAATGAGCTGCTGGCTGAGGATGTGGATCCTGAGGTGGAACTGAGAGAGATAGGTGAGTTCTGCCTGCCTTGCTCCTGTTCTGTTCTCAAATGTGCATCCCTCAGCCACAGCGAAGGGCAGGCACAGCATGAGGTTCACAGAGCTTGCGTGCTGGGATGCATTATCAAAACTGTGATCCTGCTAGAGATAAGAGTCAGCAGCATGAAGTCTGTAGGACTTTGTTCAACTCTGAGCAGTGAGTTGATCAGAAGCAACTGTGAGGCTGTAGTGCTGGGGCACTCTGGCTTAGCAGAGAAACCAAGCTGGAGTGGATCTTCTCCTAACCAACCCTCCAAGCTGTGGAAGAGCAGCCACTGGTGTCTCTCTCGGCTGCATCTTCCCTGTGCCACAAGAGCTGTGTGTTGGGGGATTTAGCTTTGTGCTGGTATACACAGTAATCTGCAGGGATGGCCTGCAGGCTCCGTGATGTACTCTTCTTCCCTTTTTTTAGGTCTCTTGGATATTTTTGGCTTTGAAAACTTTGCAGTGAATCGTTTTGAACAGCTTTGCATAAACTTGGCCAATGAGCAGCTGCAGCATTTCTTCAACCATGTAAGTCTGCTGAAGGTGACATCACCTTCTGTTGCAGAGAGGGCAGAACACTGCTCTACCTGGTACGTGCAGGAGAACTTGGGGAAAAACATATCTTTTGCCTGGAAGGACAGAAACAGTGAACAGTGAAGCAGGATAGAGCAGCAATCTTCCCTGCTGGGGCAGGAGAGGCACTGGGTCAGGAAAGGAAGAGGTAGAAGGATCAAGCAGTAACCAAAGTCGCAATAGCAGGGACACTTACACTCCGACAAGTGTTCTTGCTTTTTGCATCAGCACCAGTGAGTGCCAGGGTTAAAGAGAACCATGGAGAACAGCAGCTACATCTTGGACCTCTCATACTGTGACTGAGAGTGCCACACCTCCGTCCTCTTGTTCAGGGCAGGAAGGAAGATACTCAGGGTTTGTCTAGCCAAGTCTGCTGGGTGCTTCAAACTCTTTTTTCTTTATTTCAGCATATATTCCAGATGGAGCAGGCTGCCTATAAGGAAGAAGGGCTGCCTTGGGAGACCATCACATTCAACAATAATGAACCTATTCTGGTGAGTGAGAGGACTGACAGAATATAATTGGTCTGTCCATCCAAGAGAAAAGTCTTGTTCTTTCTACCATGGGAAGGAGATGCACCTGGGAAGAACCTCTGCAAAGTGTGGAGGGTGAGAGGGGATGTCCTGCACTGCTTTACATATGTGTCATGCATGTTCTTTCCTGCAGAATCTGCTCCTGGCCAAGCCACTTGGGCTGCTGTCTCTTCTGGATGAGCAGAGTGCATTCCCTCAGGTAGGTATGAGAGAGGAGGCAGAGAAAATATTCTGGGGGCTAATATATCCACTAATACTTGGGCTACAAAGAAAACTCTTGGGCTGGAGTGCAGGATGGACAGAGATGTCTCCAAGTGTGACTTATGAGATAGGACATCCAGATCAGGGGCAATCTAGTGGCATTGGCATCCTTGAGAAGAGTCAGAGAGAAGGTACAGCAAAGGACTATTGCAAAACCAAGGATACTTCCAACACTTTGTTTTCATTCCATGTGCCCTCATCAGGCCTCTGTTGCAGCTCATGAAATCTGCTCTCTTGCAGGCAACTGATAAGACATTTGTGGATAAACTAAACAGCAGCTTTAAGGGGAATTTACACTTCCAGCCAGCCCGAGGCCATGTTTTGGGCTTCAGCATCATGCACTATGCTGGGAAAGTATGTACTGTTTGCAGGAAGAATGTTGTTGTAGTGTATGTTGGAGGGGGTGGAAGTGTTGCCTGATAAATAAGACTTTGATGTTAAGGAATGTGTGGTCTGAGTATGATACTAACAGAGGTGATGTGTACCAGTGGATTGCCTCCTAGAATTCCCTGGGATTTATGTAAAAGGTACAGGAAGAGAAGACAGACCCCTGAGGAAAGTGGGGCTACCTCTCAGAAGTGTAGGGTATTAAAATAATCTGCTATTCTTCTAATCACCATTCTATTAGAACTCTAGTCCTAAAATAATACTTTATAAATAAAAGTACTGTGTCCAGTGTGCAGCACCAAAGGACAGGCTAAAGGCTTTTTCTTTACCTACTGGGTTCCAGAGCATAGCAGTGACTGTTTTTTTTGCAAACACCTGGGAACACTGTGTAAAGAGCATGGTAAATAGTGTTTTGAAAGTGGAGGCAGTTATTTGCACATTCACTGGTATCTAAGCAGCTTGAGATTTAGCACTATTGCATGTAACTTTACTGACACCAGTGTTGAAAGCATTGGTCCACATTAAGTTGAATTGATTTGAGATAATTTTTGGAACAGGTCATTGTAACTTGCACCTTAGTAATCTAATCTCAGCATTGTTGACTAAGTTATTATTTGTGACATTCATTATTACAAAAATTAATATTTAACATGCAAAAGGTGGATGTCTCAGTGTTATGCTGCACCCCTGGGGTTCTGATGCCTCTGGCATGTGCATGGTTTTGTTCCTCAAGGTTGGCATCTGAATGGGGTGCATGTGTGTTTAAAGAATTCATGTGCAAGCCAGAGTGCATTCAGTTTAACACATCATCAGCTCCCAGCTGGCTGTGGAAGTGGCTTTTACAGCCAGCCTGTGAGCACTGCTGTCCTTAGTGATCTGCTTCCCTTTCCCCAGGTACAATACGCTGCCAGGGGCTTTCTAGAGAAGAACAGAGACACCTTGCCAGCCAATATCCATGGGCTCTTCATCAACAGCATCACCCCCTTGCTCAGAGTGCTGTTCAGAGGCAAGTCCCTCTGCACATCCATCATGAGCCAAGGCCCACCTTGGCAAGAGTTAAGTGTGGGCATGAGGCGAGTGTGTTTCACAGAGTGTTTCACAGTTGGCAGTGCCAGGGAGACTCTGTGAATGCTGCAGCGTGGAGTGGGGCTGCTGGCATGTACAGAGCTGTCAGAGCTGTTTATTCACTGCCATGGAAAGCAAGGCAGGTTGTATCCCCTTCCAGAGAATTAGCCACTGCTCAGATGCCTTCCCATCTTCTCCAAGACCAGTGCAGGGCTGTCTCCACTGGTCCTTTCTATACACTCTTGTATATTGCTTGTTCTTGTCTGGAAATTAAGCTGGTCAAGATCATAGATTCTAAAAATGGAGCTTCACAACTTGTTAAGAAAACTCTCAGGTCATGCATTATTTTTCTCCTACCACTACACTCCCTTTTTCCACTTATCAGTAAGCCTTCAGATTCTCCAAGGCTTCTAATTAAATTAAAAAGAGAAAGATCAAGTGGATGCTTCCTTGGAAATTAGCTGGCTGAACACAGTTCTTCTGGTGTAGAAATTTTGTCTTTTTTTTGGTCCCGTTCAGTCCATGCCCATTTCTGAGATTTACAAGAAACTGATGGATTTAATTTCTATTCTGCACTGTGTTTTTCAGCTACTGCTCAGGACTATCTTTCTTCATTACCATTTCTGCACTGTTACTGAAGCTACTTAGCCTAGTCCCAACTCCTTCAAAGTTCATAGACATCAGACATAACCTGTTCTCAGGTTGGTTGTCCAGTCTGGCTTTAGGTGATGAACAAAGGATTTGGTCCAGATGACCTCCAGAGGACACTGCCAAGCTCATTCTGTGATTTTATGATTCACATGAATCCATTGCATCAAGGGTGCACAAGACTCTTACTAGATCCTTTAGTAAACTGAGCTTCCCTGATTTTCTTATCCTGTCACTGAATCAGCTATAGGCTCTTTGACTTTAAATAACCTCCTGAGTGCTGTAGGTGAGCTCCCCATTTGCTGCTTGTGCCATTTTTTCTGCACTGTTTGATGGCCATTGATGATCATTCTATTGAAAGTCATTTAGGTTTATTTAATAACCTGATTGTCATGTCTTCTCAGTGGCAGAAGTTAGTATTGCCTGCCTTGTGTGCTTTGTACATTTGCATTTTCTTCTTCCTTCCTTTTGCTCTTTCCTTGTAGTTCCACATAGGGAAACCTAACACCCTGTGATTTAGTATTTGTAAGGAGGTTTGTGCAGGAAGTGAAGCTTGAATGTTTAGCCCTAGTGGATTGCAAGCAAAGGTACAGAATCAACTAATTCTCTCTGTTCTTCCAGCCACCATCTCCAGGACAGGGACCCTGATGCCTCATGTGAAAGCCAAGGTATTGCACTTGTTGATAAATGATACCTGATAATTATTGTTGATAAATGATACCTGAAAATTATTATTTGAGAAACTGTGTGAAAAAGGGTAGGCAGAAATAAAAATTAGGTTTAAAGTAAAAGGTTTAAAATAGAAGCAGACAGCAATCAGCTTGTAACAATTTATCCTTTGTTTTTTACTGTGTTTTGTGCTTGCTTCTGCCATTTATATCTTTAGCTTGTCTTCTCTCCCATTAAATCCATTCTCCCTTGTTTTTTGCCATCTGCCTTCCAGCAGTGCCCCTTGGCTGTTAATCAAGCACTTCTTCTGGGGCTGATCCTTTGTTTTGGTCTGGTTTCAGGACATACCAGGAGCAAATGACAAGTTCAACAGCACACGGAAACAGTCTGCTGGAGCTCAGTTCCGGGTACAGTATGGCTGCCCTGAGGTGCCCCGTGAGATGAAAGCAGTGATAATTTTATCACTGCAAATATCACTGCATTGCTTCCAGAGTGCTAAGCATGGTTAAAGCAGACATTATGTAGACAGGGGTTTTCCTGATTGCTGAGTAGGGCTGATCACAGTGGGATGGGCCCAGTTGTTGCCAGAACCCAGGAAGTTGCTGCAGGGTGAGAAGACAGTTCTTGCTGCAGGATATTGCACATCTGGCAGTGCTTTGGCTTGATGGACTGTTGTTCTTCCTCTGCCCTTGCCAGCATTCCCTGACGGTGCTCATGGAGAGGATGTATTCTGCCAACCCACACTTTGTGCGCTGCATAAAGCCCAACAGCCAGAAGGAGCCAGGTGTGCTGGACAGCCAGGTGGTGCTGCTGCAGGTGAGCAAAAACAGTGTCCTCTACAGAGACTTCTGCCACATCTTGGTGGTAGGACAGATTCCACCAAAAGGCTGTGGAGGGGACTCACTTGAGTCTCCCCTTGCAAGAGAAAGACTGGGCACATTTTGTATATGTGTAAAGGTTCTGAGTACTTGCTTGTTCTTATAACACAGGCTGCTCTTCTAGGTCCAGATTTTGCAATCTTAGTTCTTTCTCATTTCTTTTTCATGAATGCAATGAGATCTGCTGTCAGGCACTAGGATTCATCTTTGCATCTCCCTCTGGATGGGACTGGCACAGACAGTACTCCAGAAAAATTGCTTCCCAGAGGAGACTGTTCTCACCCCTCAGCCAGGGCAACTCTGAATAGAAACCGAGATGGGATTGCTTTGATAGAATCTGAAATGCACTGATATGATTGTATTTGGATATTCTGTCAGGTCTGAAGTCTTGATGCTTTAAAGAATACTGAAAGTGATTGGAAGGGTTCAGAAAGCTCAGCAGCCTCCGTAATGTAAATAAGAAAGGATAGGATTTAGAGGAAGTTCATCCATGCCTCAGAGTACTTCTGTGCCCAGCATTGGAAATATGAAGCTATCCTCTAAGGGACAGAGGCAAAGCAGCACCCATGGCTGGAAGGTGAAGTTATTTCAGTCATTGGTTTTTATGGTTTCCTACTTCTAACTCAGAGTGGTTAATCATCAGAGTTACAGGATGAGGTAAATTCAGTTCTTAACCAAGGAAATGTTTTCAGAAAAAAAACTTTTTCATTTGGAACTGGAGAAGCTTAGGGCTGAATAAAGTAATTTCTGCCTGCAAAGGAGCAAAGCAATGCCCTAATGACCCGTTTCTCTTTGTTTCTCTGATCCTCTTTGTGGCGCTGCTTCAGCTCCGGTACAATGGGCTGCTGGAGACAATCCGTATCCGAAGAGATGGTTTCTCCTGGAGACCCTCCTTTGAGGAATTTGCTGAAAGGTCTTTTAAAACCTCTGAGTATTCCTTGTTAGGTATTATTTGGGAAATTACCCTGATAACCAGATACGGGCAAGGACTAAAAGAGTCTCTTCAAAGTTCATGTGGACTGAGGTGATGGGTTATTTGCTGTGGGAGGCTGAGTGGGAAAGATAGTGATTTGTTGTTGTTTGCTGTCAGGGTGATCAGCTCAGCCCATCAAGGATGTGGCTTTTATCTGTTTGTATTGGTTTATTTTCCACAGATACGGAATTCTTCTAGTTAAACCTGATGTTCCCCTCACAAAAGAAAGGTAGGAATACTAATTTTGTTGTGTGCAGTCTGGTTTGTTCTTTGGAGGATTTTACTATGAGTAGCACAGGAAACTGAGTAAAAGGGACAGACAAAAAGAGGATAGGATTCTGTGGTGATGGGGAACACAGATCCCAGGCAAGGACACTTAATGTTTAAAGAGCATTTGGTACCATGATGAATTAAATCTTTCTTGAATTGTTATGTAGCAATTAAATTCAATTACTGCAAAACCTTGTTGTGCTGTGGAATGAACACTGACCCATGTACTTAATTTAGGGAGTGACAATAGTGGTCAGGGGTGTCCCCTGAACTCGGCATGGCAGCACTCAAGTACTGCTGTCAGGTGCCTCTCCAGGCTTTTTCCTGACGGCCACATGGGAGAAGAAGATAAAGACAATGCTGAACAAGCAGCCAGCACTTAATGTCTCCCAGGCTAGAGAAGATGTTTCTAAACCAAGAATTTTGTCTCTGTACAGGCAAACTATACCATCAGCACTTTTGGAACTCTACTGTTACACACATAAACGTCCTTCCAGCTCTGCACAGGGACAGGGTTTTACTCTGCCAGCGTTTTCAGTCCTACATCTAGGGCAGCATTTCCCCACCTCTTCTTCACTTTCCCAGCCTCTCCTTCCTGCCAGTGTCAGCTGTGATTGATAGTGAGAATGAATCATGTAAAGAAGCCAACTGAAGGGGTTTTTTTTAGTCATTTAAGAAAAGGATTTGAATGATCTCCTGGAACAATTCTCTCCTGGCAGTAGTTCCTCCTGCCTTCACAGTGCTTCCTTGAACTTCCTGATGCTTCTGAATAGTAAGAATTTCAAACCCAAGTGAGGCTTTTTTTTTTTTCCACAAGAGAATGTCATAGATGGGGGCGAGATTATTGTAAAAAGGCAGTGTGGTGTGTTCAGAGACACAAAAATCATGGGATGCATTTCAGAAAAAAATATCCTGTGGATATGGATTGTGGCACTGTGGAAGTTGCCTGAGATAGAAGGAGAAAAACACTTCTGCTTTCCTGTGTGAGATATTAGCAAAAAGTGCCACTATGATTTCACAGCCTGGATTAGCAGGAGAGGGAGGAAGCTGTCTGTGTGTTGCAGCTAGAGATGCTTTCAGTTCCAAGTATCAGGGAATCTTTCCGAGTGACCCAAATTTTATCACTAGAGTCTGCAAAATGAAACTGGAATTGGAAAACAGACTTTCTCCCGGAAGTCTTGCTGTGCTGACCTTGCAACTTGTGTCCTCCAAAGGGCTTGGAAACAAAATGAGGAAAAACACTTCTGAGAATAAAATGGGCTCTACAGAATTGCCTCCCAGGGAGCTGAAGTAAATCTGCCTCTGGGAACCCCTTTGTGGATGTTCTTCCCAAATGTGGTCCTAGCTGTACCTCAAGGTGCATTACAGACTGACAGCCAGTTTACTTACTGTTGGGAACTGCTGAGGCACTTTTTGCCCCTTTATGCAAATAAAAAATTTGGTGTTCACTTTGGGTGGAAAATTATTTATTTCACTTTCTTATCTCTTTCAGTTGCTTGGAGATACTGCAAAGTACAGAGCTGAAAGGCTGGATTTGTGGGTAGGTGTGGATCACTGCTGTTGGGATTGGGAAGCCTAGGATTTTACACATGTAAGCTGTCACCTGGTTCTCTTCAGCAAGAATTCTGTGGTTGTAGGAATGGGCTCTTCAAAGGATGATGGATAAAAGTTTAGACAGTGTTCCTGATTGCATCTTTCTCTTCCAACTTTACAGAAAGTCACGACTTTTCTTTAAATATTGGCATCAGGAACAGCTGGCAAAGTATGTGGAGCGACTGGCAAGAGCAGCAGTGATCATACAGAAGGGTGAGAACTGGGACAGGAGCTGATCTCAGACCAGGGGAAGGAAAACCTTTTCAGTAGTCCCTGCTCCACTTTTGCAGAGGACAGAAGGGTAGGGCAGGTGCTGTCTCTGGGTCAAGGCCCTGTGAAGTCAAAGTGTTTATTGCAAATACCCACATTCCCACTGCTCATCCTGAATCAGGGAGAGCCCTCAGTGTCAGCCTTGGAAAGGGAAAATGTGTTCAGAAGAGCTGGGCTGAGCAGGGCACACATGATTTGGCTGTGTCCTGAGGTCTGACTCACTGTGCTCTGGAGTTAGGATTGTTTGTGAGTTGTGTTAAACTGGGAAGGGGGAAATGAGTGAAGCTGATCTCATTGCTGCTTTCAGAGACAGGCAAAAGGGGGTGAAATTTTGGTCTGGATTGCTTTTTTTCTTTCCTTTCCATGTAACATCTGCTCTAGCAGCCTGTCTCTTCAGAGTGGACAAATTCCCTATGCACAGGCTATGAGGACTGTGCAGCCAGGAGGAGGAGGAGGAGGAGGCTGCTGTCATCCTGCTTAGCTCCCCTCTTTTGCACTTCTCTTCTCTATGGGTTGTTGCACTGCTAGAGCATCTGAGCAACTTCCAGCTGTGCACCATACAGTGTGACAAACATCAAAGGGTCACAAGCTGTGCACTGTTGTCATCCATGGGGAAAATGTGTGGGTAGTGGGAAATGACAGGGTGCAGCTTTCACTTCATGTGTTTTAATAACTGGTAGAGTAGGTGGGATCACACAATGTCTGTAATGCTCCTGGTGAGCCCTTCGATGGCTGCTTATGGGAAAGGTTTTCCTGTGGGCTGGAATCAAAGAAATCCTGTCTCCTTCATGGTATCTAGAAGGGCAGAAATGGATGGTTGACAGGCCCTTCTGTGAGACTTTCTTTTTCAGCTGTTCAGTGCCCTGGCATTAGAAATGAGAGCTTAGATCTGTAATTTGATTTCTATAAATCTGTGATCTGGCAGCTTAGAGAGTAGAAGACAATTCTCACAGGGTTTTGGCTGCCTGCTCACAGTAGAGTTTTCACTGCTCTTTATTAACGTGGTTCAGGTGTTGAGGGCTTTGCACTGGATGAAGGACTGTCACCCAGTGTTCTTCCCCGAGAGAACTGCAAAGGCATGAACAGCATTTTTTTTCTAACCACAGCTTTTTTTCTGAACAGTTTTCAGGGGATTCAGATGCAAGAAGAGTTTCCTAAAACTGTTGGCTGAGCTGAGAGCTCAAGCACAGCGGCTGCAGGAGGAGACAGAGAGAGAAAGAATCCAGCAGCTGGCACTGGCAGCAGAGGCCCAGGGTGAGTTGTTCCCACTCACACTCACCCAGTGCATGTCCACTGGTGTGGTGACCACCTGGAAGTGCTGTAAGCTCCAGGGCATGATGGCCTGCCTCGATGGGAACTCCATCAGTGTGGTGAGCTGATGATTTTTCTGCTCTATGGAAGTGTGGCTTTGTCAGTGGGGGGCAGAAAAGCAGCATGGTAAAAGTAATTTGCTTGGCTGTCCTGGAAGGAGGACCAGGCTGTGGTTTTACCACGTAATCCATGCAGCAGAGCCTATCCCAGTCCTAGGCCTGTAGAGGATGGATCTCATGGATTTTGAATGCTAGATTTCACCTATTTATTTCTTCTTATTGCAGAAAGACATTCCCTTCCGGTCCCCATGCCACGAAAGAGGCACCTTCAGTCTAGTCCTCATCCTTCTGATCAGCCACAGCAGCCACCAGTGCCACGGCCACGCAGCAAACTAACAGAGGTAGCAATACTGGCTCTGCTGGGGGCCCCTTAGCCAGATGTGCTGGTTCCCTGCTCCATCCACCTTCTGCACGCACATGTTCTCCTGCACGTGGTCCCAAGAGAATGTTGTCATTCTTGTTATGAGAATTGTGACTCCTGGTCTACTGTAGTTAGATAAAAAGCATTGTCAGGACCTTTGGGGAACTGAAAACAGCTTTTAGTACTTGGTGACTGATCTTCTCTTAAGGGACTCAGGAATGGGGTCACCTGCTAAAGTGATCTCTTCAAATATCCCCTGCCTTTGACGTTGTGTTTGTGCTGACTTTCCCTCTCCCCTTGCTTTCAGTCCACTCCTTTTGATAACTTCTTGAACCCTTCTGTGCCTCGTCCTGTTCTGGGGGCTGAGGAACAGACTGGGGAAGAAGCGAAAATGAGGAAACTCAAGAGAGGAGCAACTCTGCGCTGGTTCAAAGAGACACAGGCCCAGAAGGTCATGCAGGATGATGGGGCCTTTCCAAGCTGGCTGCATGGGATGATCAGTCGGAGGTGAGTACTCTGGACAGGTAGAAGCTGTTGTGTCCTTAGGACTGCGTAGGTTGGATTGGCCAGGCTTTGCTTAAGGAATGGGAGCCACCTGCATAACTTTTCCCTTTTAATCTGTGCACATCAGACCTTTAGGGGAAAGCTTGGGAGTCCTTGTCACAGACTGTACATGCTGAAACTTTATCTAGGTCCATGGAGAGACAACAGAAACTCTTAGTATGTAAGTCCACTGTGGGTCCCTAAATACAGGTCCTGGTAGGGATGGGAGGCTTGTAAAGTAATCAGAAATACACAAATGTACTTTCCCTGTTCTGGGCCATTTGCAGAGACATGAAGATGAACTTTTGTGTTGATTCATTTTGACTGTTTTTCATATTTCAGTATAGGGCAGGAGGAGACCCCAATTTTCAGCCGGAGAGTATAGAATTCAGCTTACTTTAATTTTGAAAAGTATTAAGAGGGGCTTTAGTGGGTACTCAATGGCCAAACTCCACCAAAGCCTCCTGATACAGGAAAAGGAATGTTTTTTGTTGATACCTCTGTCCTTCTAAGGAGGGTGCAGCATAGCTGGTATTTGCTTCTGCTTAGTCTGGAAGAGACATCCACTAAGCCCTTCTTTCTTACAGAGTTGCTTGCAAGACTTCGTTTTAATGCTTGAAGTTTTTCTACCGGGTCTTCCTCACACTTAACTCTCTTGGCTGAGTCAAACACTGCTTTGAACCAAGCAGTGGCATAATCAGAGAAGTGCTGATTATGCCAGTGATCAGACAGGAGCAGGATGGCAGTATAGTCTCACCTGTGTGCAAATTGTTCCATGGTGCTCCACGCTTGTTAACTGCCAATATCCTGTAATTGGTGGGATTTCTGTGTCAGTGTTGCTGCCATCAGAACACCCTCATCATCTTATTCCAATTTCTAACTTTCTTTTTCTGTTCAAACTGCAATTTTCCTTCAGTGTTATTATATCTATGTTGTAGGATTTTTTTCAGGTTGTCAGTATGAACATTTACTAGGAGACATTGCACACTACATTAGCTTGGTAAAGGGCGCTACAGTAGCTCACAGCCCCCTGGTAGCTTCATTTCTTTTTAAGTTTTTTTAGATAGTTATTGAGACCCTAACCTGTGATAATGCTTTTGTCCACAGATTAAAGACTGTGGGAGAGGAAGTAGTGTCTGGAAGACAAAACTGTCTAAATTCAAGTATAGACTAGCCATGAGCACTGCACAATGAAGGATGTGGCAGATCCTTTCCAAAGACACTGGTGCTTAAGCAGAGACTTAAGTTTTCAGACAGCAGTGTAAGCTCAACTTCATTAAATGGAGCAGGCAGAGCAACCCCAAACTGCACTGGTGATTTGCAGTCACCTTTAGCCTGGAGCAAGGCACATGACAAGCACAAAGCAGAGCTTTGTCTGTTGGGCAGAGAAGGGGGAGACCTCCTTCCAGCAGGAAGTTTAGAAATCCAGAGTGGTGTAATCCAAGTTAGTGTTTTTCCAAGGTGCTGGGCTTACCTCGTACCCCACAGCATCCTGACTTCTTCATCCCTGGACCATAGGAAGTGCACACATGCACAGATTCCTCATCTTAGTGATGCTTTATGTCATGCTTGGTGGTGTAAGGCAGCTGTTGCACAATCAGGCTGCTGGAGCAGGTTTGGAGAGGCTTTGACTGAGGGCATTGTGCTCCTTCAGCCCATTAGTGCCTCCTGCACCAGCAAGCCTGAGTCAGGAGACCTGTAGCCAGGTCATCTGGCTTGGGGCAGATGATGGGCTGCCTGGGACACTGCTGGGGTACCACATGAGATAGGAGGTGAATCCCTGCTGTGTGGCTGTCTCTCTGCTGAAAAACTCTTCTCTGATTCCAGGGAAGCTGAAAACTTGCTGAGTGACAAGCCTTTGGGTTGCTTCCTTGTTCGGATCAGCCAGAGCCGACCAGGCTACATCCTGTCATACCGGTAGGTAATGGACAGAGGAGGCTCAGGGGAGGCCTTACTGCTTTCTACAGCTCCTGGCAGGAGGTTGTAGCTAGGTGAGGGTCAGCCTTTTCTTCCAGGCAGCTGGCAACAGGACAAGAAGACAACACAGCCTCAAGCTGTGACAGGGTAGGTTCAGGCTGAATGTCAGGAGGAATTTCTTCACAGAAAGGGATGTCAAGCACAGGAACAGGCTGCCCATGGCACTGGTGGAGTCACCATCCCTGGAGGTATTTGAAAGATGTGTAGATGTGGCACTTGGGGACATGGTTTAATGGTGGATTTGGCAGTGCTGTGTTAAGGGTTGAACTTGAGAATTTTAAAGGCTTTTCCATCCTAAATGATTCTATAAAATGGAGAACTGCATGAAATTCTGTGATCCTGGATTTCTACAGTCACAGAATCTTGATTTTTGTGATTTTATAAAACTGCTTGACTGGAGGAGATCACCTGCTCCACAGAGGAGTCCAGTGAGGATCATATTCAGTCTCTCCTATCGTGGGTGCCTCAGAGAGTTTGTAGTAGCAGGTGGGATACTGCAGAATCTGTCATAATGAAAAAAATAGACCTGTTTGTGGGTGGGGTGCTATGGCTCCAAGGGTAGAGGTCCTGCTTAGGCTGTACTCTGCAGCTGAGAAGGCAAACCAGATTGGAAGGAGCTCACAGCACATCTGTGAGCACATCTTAGTGCACAGCGCACCTGCTGCCTCTGTGTGGTACTTGTTACTGAGGATCCTGATCACAGCTGGCCTCTGGAGACCACGGGTGCAGGAAGCAGGAGCCAGGTTCTGACATGCTGAGGCCTCGTGTGGTGACAGTTCCTGCCCATCCCTGTCCCCAGGGGCGAAGGCCGCTGCAGACACTACATGGTCCAGATGCAGCTGAATGCCCGCTACGTCATCCTGGGGGAGGACCGGGCCCACGCCTCGCTCACCGAGCTGGTGCGCTTTCACCAGACCGTGGGCATCCAGCCCTTCATGGAGATACTGACTGTTCCCTGTGAGCAGGTGAGAATCAAGGGTCTTGGGAGGGAAGAGAGGATGGGGCATGGACTGTGCCTTGAACGAGTGGTCGGAGACACTGCAGCAGCATCTCTTTTGTGTTCCTGTTGAGGGGTGTCCCATCCAGGCCAAGCAGCTTGGGTGCTTATGCATGCACTGGGAAATGCTGCTAGCTGGGGGGTCCTGGGATGGGGGAGAAGCACTGGCAGGTGGATGAGGCCCCATTGCCTCCTGAATGTCACCAGTGGACGCAGCTGGGTATTTCTCATCGTTGTGCTGTTCAGTGTGTGTGTGAAGGGTCTGCAAACCACTGCTGAATCCACTCCTCCTTTCTCCAGAAAAGTAATGAGAGCTTGGATTATGAAAATCTGGAGGGTCTCACACTGAGTTCACAAGCAGACAAGGGGGAGACCCCTCCAGAGAAGCAGTCCAGCCCCTCCACGCCTTCCAGTGGCAAACCTGCTCTGCAGTGGTTCAGGAGGACCAAGAATGTCCAAATCCAGCAGACTGAAGACAAGAGTAGAACACAGCCTAGCTCTGGAGAGAGCAGCCAAAAAGCTTTCCCTCGCTTCCACTCTTCAGTACGCCTGGCAATTCAGGAACTCCAGCAGGTGAGCTGAGGCATCTCCTCTGCCAAGCCACAGCCCCTCTGGGATATGTGGAGTTTCCCTGCCCAGAAGCAGGAGAGAGGAGGGTTCCACAGCTAGCACTTGGTTTCCTAGCTCCTGGGTCATAGATTTTATATGGTGGTCTTGAGATCAGGACTGTATTCCTTGGAGTATTCCTTGCCAGCCTGTGCTCCCCCAATGCCAATGCTGTTTCTCTGCTTCTCACCACAGTTCATGTCCATTCCTGAGAACATGTCTAAACAGAGGAGCTCACTGCACTGAGGATGTACAGCCTGAATGATGGGGTAAGAGGAGGTGGTGCACAGGAGGGAAAACAGCAATTGCAGCTTCCTGGGAAGTGGAGGAGCAAAGGAACTCTTCCCTTCATGTTTCACCTGTAGCATAGACTACATGAACTACACAGAAATAGAGCAGGAAAAACAGAGAGCAGCAGCTGGCTTCCAATCCAGGACTACACAAAGACCAGGAAAAACCTGGGAAAATCAGCCTGAGTTTGGGTTCCCAGCACCTGTGGTGCACAGAGTGCTTGCAGTACAGTGGCCAGGAGGGAGCTTGCAGTTTGCTGGAGGCCTGGGGCTGGAAGGATGAGGGCTATCAGAATGCATGCCACAGTAGTCAGCCTCAGTGGCTTGGGGGGTGGAGAGGCTGTGGTGTTGGGGAGCCCTGTGGTGGCAGAGGCATCGAGCTGAAGGCGAGGCTCAAAACTGAGGGGAAGGCAGCAACTTCGTTGTTGTAAAGACGACTTTCAACAAAGTCTCAGCAGGAGAAGCATAGCTAGTGACTGAGACTTTGGTACAATGGAGGGGTGACAGGAGTCTGGAGAGGCCTTTTGACAGACTCTGTGCTATCTGAAGTACCTGGTGGAAGTGCAGCTCTCCTGTCCCACTCAGCTGCTGAAGGCAGGTGGGAGCTGTAGTGATGCTGTTGTAGATCTCTGGAAGAATCTTGGTACGTGTCAGCTGAGTGTGGAGAGGGATCAGATCATGCTTTTGGCTGCTGACCCACTGCAGGGCTTCCAGCCACACACCAGGATTGCCAAGTTTCCTGTGTGGTTCTGCTCCCATGTTGGAATCCATGCTGAAGGAAAGATTCTTAGCTGGGGCCTGCCTTGTCTTTCTCTTCACAGCTGAGAAAGACAGGGTATCTTCAATAGCTGAGCAAATCCTCTCCCTGAAGTGTTTGGCTTAATTGCTTCATTCTTCTATGTCCCATTCATTGATGTACCCAGGGGATGCTCCCTTTGTCAGAGGCTAGGCAGAAGAAAGATAAAACATGGCATATTCTGCATAGATAACTGCAAGCTTGTTGTACTGGGATAGCTAAATGGAACCCTTTTATTTCCTCCAGTGAGTTCTGTTTCTTGACTGTCTTGCAGGTCCAAGTGGCTCTGGTTTATCTTCTTCCAGTGCTGTTGGGCCTTCCCTAACAGTGAACACATCCAGACATACAGCAGCCTTTTTCTTTTTTATTTTTTTTACTTTTTTTTTTTTACTTTTTTTTGCTGCACACAGCTGTCCCTGTGCTTTTAGACAGGGTTGATGCAGAAGTTCATTCTCGTCAGCACTGAGCCATACTGTGACTGCAGTATCTGGACCAGTCTGATTCTGGGAGAGGGGAGAAGGTGGGAACAGTCACACTCTGCACACATCCACAGTGCCTGACAGTCTGTGTGTCAGTGCTCCTGGAGACTCCTCACCTACCACTATGAATAGTCACAAAGTGGGTATCTCCCAGCAACCTGTTCTGTCACAAATATCTGATTACCTACCTCTTTCTCTTTAAATGTTCTCTGTTTTGGTCCTGTGTATCTGCTGCTCTGGGAACCAAGGGGAGTTGGGCTTGGGCAGTAAAAAGTAAAACTGAAGTGTCCTTTTTGTTGAGTGCAGGAGCACTTGAACAGAAGCTGAGACATGGTCAAGAAGATCTTTCTTGTAGAGGGGATTCACTGCCTTTGCATCAGTGTGCTGGCACACTGTTCCACGGTCCTTAACTCAGAGCTAAAGTCAGGGGATCATTAGCGAAACCCTCTCACTCATCCTGGCTGAAATCTCTACAAGTCCAGACTGGACAACATGCTGCTTTAAACTGAGGGTGGGTAGAGGGCTTGGAACATAAAGGACCATACTACTTGTACTGTTTTTCCAACCTTTTAAAATAAATCTCTTTTTATGCCTCTGAGAAGAAGCTCGCTGTTTTCTTTGTTGCTGTTACCTGCAGTCAGTTCAGCCTCAAAAAATAAATGAAAGAGAACAGCTAACACCTCTGAGGATAGACATGGGGTCATGTGAAGTGTCGAGGAGCTGAAGGCATGTGGGGCACTATCCCTGGCACACAGCTACTACCTGTAACAGCTACTCCTCCTGTACTTACTTACACCTGAAGTACTTCTGGAGTGCTCCTTACTCCACCTGTAGCATCTGTCCTCCCAGCCAGCCTCATTTCCTGGAGGCTCTGTTTCCCTGGCTCTGCTCCAAAGGACAGGCAAGCTGCCCACCCCAGCTGCCCCCTCCCTGGGAGGCACGGCTGTGTCCAGGCTGGTGCAGTTATCAGTGTGATACAGGGTGTGGGTTGCAGTGTCTCAGCATTGCCTCTAGTCATGGGGCTGTTTCTCCTCCCTCCCCCTGCTCTGGTGTTGAGCTGTGCTGGATCACAAGGCAGCGCTGCTGGCTGCAAGACAGGGAAGCAGTGGCTGTTCTGGCTCTCCCCAACATTGCCTTGCAGCGTTAACACACCTTTTCTCTTCCTCATGTTGGGTTTTGGCAGCTGCTTTGAAGCTGTTCAGGAGAGAACCAGTCCAGGCAGTCAAAGGCTGCTGTTGGCAGATTCTTCCTGGCTGAGCCCAGAGGTGTTTTGCTGGGCAAAACCTCTTTTCCAGTGTTCTCCTTAGTTTCCTCCAGCACTGGGCTGCTGGGAAGCCTGCCTTCTGGGCAGCACATATAATCACTTGTGGTCAAAACTTTTCTAGGAACTCGTGCACAGAGCTGAGACATGTATGAGAAATGCATGTCAGTAATTAAGTCCCTCAGTAACTCTTTCCTAGTTCCTCTGCCAGGAACATGGTGCAAGCCCAGGGCTAAGACCCAGCTGCAGAAAAGCTTAGCTTGGCAGGGATCATGCTGAACCAAGGAGGGTGGTGAAGAGCTCTTCCTCAGCACTGCCTCCAGTACTTCCTGGGTGCTGCTGCAGGCACAGCTCCCCAGTGACAGTGAGAGGAATGACATGAAGGGAGGGTCAGCACAATTCCCTAGCAGGTCTGCATGGCACATCTGGCAAGCTTCCCCAAACTGAGCAGATCAATCACAGATTTCTGTTGCTTCTGTTACAGTGGGTGCAAGCTGAATCACAGCATGTGCAGCCAGGAGCTTGGCACAGACCCAAGCAGCACACCTGTGTTGGCAGGTCAGGTTTCTCTCACATCTGCTTCTGCTGCTTTTTCTGTAACAAGGCAGGAAGAAACCAAGGGAATAGAGGGTGAGAAGCTGCTGGTCAGAGGAGGTTATGCAACACGGGAGACACTGGCATAATTACTGCAAGGCTCTGGTTTGCAGAGTCATTAGCAGTCAGTGCCCTGCCTACACGCAAAGCCTAGCCAAGCCTCTGGAGAGCAGCTTTTGGTGATGTTGGGCTGTCATGGGCGCAAATGTGTGCCAGCAGTTGGGGAAAACTGAAAGAAGAGTTGGCAATACAATGGGCTGAAGAATAAAATGCAGATTTGATATCTCTACTGTGGTCTTTGCCTGCATGCTCACAGCTCATGGCCAAAATCAGCACTGTGTGGAAGCTAAGAATTTATTTCACCTTCTCGCTTTCTGAAGATGACCTATCCTATGAAGACAAGCTGTGAGAGTCAGGATTGTTCAGCCTGGGAAAGAGAAGGATCCAGGGAGACTTTCTAGCATCTTCCAATTCCTAAAGGGGCTACAAGAGAGCTGGAGAAAGACATTTTACAAGAGGCTGTAGTGGTAGGACAAGGGGCAATGTCTTGAAACTGACAAAGGGTGGGTTTATATCAGATATCAGGAAGAAATTATTTGCTGTGAGTGGTTGAAACACTGAAACAGGCTTCCCAGATAGGCTGTAGATGCCCTAGCTCTGAAAGTGTCCAAGGCCAGACTAGATGGACAACCTGGTCTAGTGGAATGTGTCCCAATCTATGGCAGGGAGTTGAAACATGTTGGTCTTTAAGGTCCCTTCCATCCCAAGCCTTTCTATGATGCTGTGATCCGATTATCCATTGAAGAGGAGCAGGTACATGAGCAGCCCTGCCTTGTTTCCTACAGCAGCACCTTACCAGCTGGCACTTGGAAAGTAATGTCTCAGAAAAAAAGCAAAGAATAAATTGTGTAGGCCAGGGTGGGAAGACCTTTCATGCTATAGTTCAGGTGAAATGTATAGGATTCGTACATTTGCTCTCTCACAGAGAGCAAATACCAGCCTTTACTGGGCTAGGTGAGCCAGAGCAGCACCCAGAAGAGGATCAGGCAGCCTGTGGATCCCCTGAGCGCTGCATTTCACTCCCCATGGGACTTAAGCTGAGCTCTGGGAGGAAGGATAGGAACAGAAACACAGGCATGGGGTGCTGGGAAGACCCAGCACACAGAAAGGTGGGAAGAGCAGCAAGAAGGATTTGCAGTCCACAGAAATGAGAACTGGAAGTGCTCCTCTGGGCCTGAGGTCTTGGGAGGAATTTTATTTCATAACCTGGGCCTTAGTAGTCATCCCCCTACACTCCTTCTCTCTAACTGGTGCTTCACACCATCCTTTAGAGAGTTTCCCTAACCTGCTTCCTTGTTTTTACCGAAGGGTTTTGTGTCCCTTTGTTACGTCCCTCTGAGGTATTCTTTGCATTTGAATAATCTCAGCTGCAGACATTTTAACCAATCACTTCTGGACTAAGATCTACTCCAGGTTAGTCTTGTCCTGTCTGAACTAAAGCTTTGTCTTGCCTTTGGCCCTTGGTGTGCCTGGCCAGCAACTCCCCATCAGGCTGGCTGAAACAGAAATCGTCACTCTCCTTCCATTCTCAACCTTTCCTGTTCTCCTTTTTCACAGTTCTGTTTTTTCTCCTCCTCTCCGCAGCCTGGCCATCATCTCTGATGTACGTTTGAGTTTTAGGAATGCAAACCTGTAATCCAAGCACTGGTATGGCACTTACACTCTTTTCACAAAACTGGCAGGCCTTCATGTTGTTTGCTTTCTTCCTGGGCAACTTTAAAAAGAGTATGTTGACATGTTTCCTTCCCCAAATGTGTCTTAAAAACTGATGTGGCCCTCTGTAGCAATGCATCTGAACAGCTTGGGCTGTGATGTGCTCCAGCCAAACCGTATTTAGAGTTTATTATCAGACCCTCTGGAATTTCTTAAGGTTGCTGAGACATAAGCTATTCTGAAAATAAGAAAGAAGAGTCTGGAAAGCAAGAAAACAGGAGCACAAGAGCCAGACAACAGAGGACCTGGACTGGAACCAGTCCTGTGCCCCGAGGGGTGCATGCAGAGCACGTGGACAGGACAGGGGCACCAATGAAAAGATGTGTGATTGTGTGAACCGTAGTTTTAGAATGTATAAATAAGTGTATAATGTAAACAATAAATGGCTTCTGTGAAATCATATTGGTCAGAAATCATTTCTTGGTCAGAAGTCCTGAGCTCCCACAGCCCTCAGCCCAGACAAGGGCTACTCCATACTACCCTTAGCCTCACTCCAGCCTGTGTCAAGTGACCTGGAGTGTTGTGACAGCACCTCTGAGATACAGTCTTTTCCTATCTTCCAGATAACTTTGTTGTCCATACCAAGTCCTCATGTGGTGTGACTTTCTGTGCAACAACATTTAGGACTGACTACTCGGCAAGGGCTTTGTTTATCAGCTTGCTCCTCCTGGTGCACCACAAGAGCATAGAACCTACTGTGAGATTTAGGGAACAAACCAGTGCCAGGTTCTGGCTGTGAGGGTGGCCAGTGGGATGTGGCTGGAGCAGATGGAGGAGCAGTGCTGGTACATGTTTTCACCAAAGCTCTGCTTAATCTTTTTTCTGACCAAAGCATCATTTTGTCTAGTGGTCCTTGCTGGGTTGTTCTTCTGTAAGAGAACCTGATTGCTTTTGATTCATTCTGCATTGTTTTGCATCCTAGAAATCCTAGTTAATTAATTCCTCAGACTTACAGAATCACAGAGTGGGCAAGACTGGAAAGGACCACATTTGGTCCAAATTCCCTCTTCAAGCAGTGTCAATCTAGAGCACTTTTCGGAGGATTGAGCCCAGATGGTTCTTGAATATCTCCAGTGAGGGAGACTCCTCAATACATAGTGAAAGAGTACTTAAATTTGCTTTAACCTGCTATTACTTAATTAATATTCTTTTGTTCCTATACCATAAAATGAAAAAAATAGTAATTTCCAAATTACTTCAGTCACTGCAAATGGTTTGTTGACACATCAGTTTGTCTCCCTTGGCTTTCTTCTTTGCCCTATGAATTTGATTTTCCCTGTCCCCTTTTCTGCTTCTTCTGCATTCCACTGTACATTCTCTGAGAAGGAAGGGAGAAAACAAGTAACTGATTCACAGCCCATTTTCCCAGTTGGTGATAACTGGTCTGAACTCCTTTATGCAGTTAGAGCTTCTCCTTGTAAATTAGACCTACCTGCACTTGAATTTGTCATTTTGTCCCCTAGCTTTCATTATGAGACCTTGCTCATTTTCACTACACTGCATTCTTCAGCTTCACCATCAAACTCTTCCCCCTGACTGCTCACACACAGACCATTTATGAATACATCAAAAATCAAAAGCCCTAGCACAGATCCTGGTGGGACACACTGCTGTGTTCCATTTTAAATGCTGGCCATTTTTCATTCATTATTTTCTGCCTTGCTATTAACCATGGGAATAAGCACGTTGTGGAAGAGAGCAATTAAGGACATTTGGGGCGGGATATTTCTAAAAATGTTTTGAACATCCAGTAACATCCATCTGTACAGTCACAGTATTTAAACTGGATTTCTCACTCCTTTAAAGAGTGAGATATTACTTTCTTCTGCTAGAGTGGGATTCTTTCTTCCACTTT